CTTGTTTTTGGAGATTAACGCCATTTTCATGGCCCTTGCCCAACCGTGATAGTTCTTTCCATTCATGAGGGAAGAAACTAAAACTAAAGAAGGATTTTCGTTTGCATGCAAGTAGTATGGACTTCCTGGATCAAAAAAATCTACTACAGTACTGGAAGTTTTTGAATTACCTCGATTAAGAGCAGAGTTTTCTCCTACTCGATTTGCATCAGAATCCTCGGTTGCATGTTCATGAACCAACTCGGAACTCCGATTCGCCATTCGTAGCAGCTATTGTCGATTCTAGATCTTGAAGAAGAACTACAATTTTGAAAAGAGAAGACGAAAGGCGAATATTAGAGCTCCGCGAAGAGCTCTAATACCATCTTACGAACAGAGAGTAAAAATGTCTCTTCCATTATCTCAGAATACAGAAATTACAGAATGCATAAATTACACAGTGATACACGTATTTATAGTCAGTTAGAAACAAGGCTTACGTGTCACACTTATAACAAACTGAAACTAACTACGTGTAAGCTAATTGAACAATGAAGTAGAAGCAGTTAGTTAACACGTGAGGTATCACGTGAGAAGTGTATATCTCATCAAAACTATTGATACACATTATTTAATATAGATCTAGCTTTAATTCTTTTCAAGAAAACCGAAATCACATGCCCGTCCATAAATGACCATTAAATAAGGAAATAAAATTCCATAAAAGCAATTGCTGGATACGGGTGAATCAAGAATGTCTGACTGGATATTAATATTTATATTTGAGAACAGTATGTTTGTGGGAGTCTATGGAAGAGATATAGCAAGGGGTAGCATATTATTATACACAAGTAACAACGGCATAACCAGATAGTGAAGTGTGTGCATAGTGACAGCTAAAAAGATAAAAAGCATGAAGTGTGTACCTGGTAGATTTAATCCCTTATTTATATGTGGGTTATTTGTAAGTATAGAATCTCGATCAGAGTGGGATTGTTGGGACTTGGGAGAGATACAATGAATGACTTATCCCTTATCCTCGGGTAGTAGGATAATGTGTTATCCTTATCTTTCTTAGCTAGTCACTTGTTGTTAGATTGTCAGGATATCAGCCCATAAAATGAGTCCAGAACAGTAATATTAAACAAATTTATATACATTTAGCTTTTAAAAAATAGGCATTAATGTGTCGAGTTACATCAAAGCATACTTTCATTCCTTAACCTATACAATTTTGTTCATCGTCTCATTAGAGTACAAAATTCGAGTATAATATGAATCTCATAAACATAAAAGGAATATAAGCTAAAAGTAAGAAAAAATAAAAAGAAAACAAAGGAAATGAGCTTAACAGGTTTCAAGAAGAGATCTCCTTTAGCAACTGAGGACAATTATATCATATTTTTTGCATAATATCAATCCAACATGAGCTCTTTTCCTTCTAAATTTGTTCCCCCTGTACCTAGTGCCTCCTCAAAACTCTGATTTATTCTTTTTCTATTGTTGCTTTTCCCCTCAAAAGGTGTTAGACTCCCCTTGATCTCGTACATGTATCCTCTAAGTTTTGGTAGCCAAATATGAGTTGTGAAGTACTATATTGGTTAGAAATGAACTAAGTAAGGATCATATAAATAAAAGGACCCATAAACCTAACACCTTAAGATTTGGGGTATAGATATTGTGTCGAGTTCACTTATTGTGATGTATTGTTGCTTAGCCCATTCAATGATAATTCTCCCCTATCATGGGCTCTCTCTATTACCAAACTTTGGTGTTAAAGTTGATGGTTTGGTTAGGCCAGCCATAAGTTTGTTTGAGGTGAGTATTTGAAATAAATATTTTAGCAATTTGGGCTTGTTAATCTCCCTAAGCCCGCCAAATATTGATTCTTGGTAACTCCTAAGTACTCAAACAAACTTTTGCCAAGGAAGAGCAAATGTGGGCTTGAGACTTACACATAAGAGGGAGCTGACAATTGTGGGACTTATACTTTTAGGCTCCTCTTGACCGCTACATAATAGTGGTATCAGAGTCAATGGTTGATTGGTCCATGTTAGCTAGGTGTAATCAAACTCGTGTTGTGGAAACAAGACATAGCCCACTCTTGGTTGATAACCCCATGAATACTCTCGAAAAAGCTTTTGCTTGAGGGGAGTTAAATGTTTAGGACTTACATTTGAGGGAAAAATTGTTGAAAATTCAAGGTGAATGATAAAATTCTGCATCAGGAAGGAATGAGCTAAACATGAAACATATAAGTAAAAGACCCATAAACCTATTGTCTTAAGATTTTGGGTTGATAAGTGATGTATGATCCTACTTACTATGGTGGGTTTGTTGTTTTGCTCATTTGATAATAGTTTTTCCCTTTCAAGGTATTATGGACCAGAATGAGGCCCATGGTCAGTAAGGCCCATGATCAGCACAGGCCCACAGGTAAGCATTATAAATAGGAGCTAAACGCCACAGGTATAACCTAATCTCTTTTTACCTAGTTACGCAGCCTAGATAGTACACACACACACACCTTTCCCAGGGCTAAGGTCATCAGATAGTGTGTGATCTGCTGTCCTCAAGATACCTAACTCATAGGTATCCAGAGAAGACACCTGAATCATAGATCAATCATCCAATCCTAATTGGACACATCTGCCTAGGGTAGAACATTGGCGCCGTCTGTGGGAAACTTTTCCACGACTAACGTTGTGAAAGTCAACAAAATCGATGGTGAGAACAACAAGGAGTGGCCTTCGTCAACCCTCCACATCAAACCTCCAAGTTCCTCCTTCTGTTAGGGAAGATCCTGCGGAATCAAGGCAGCAGATGCCGCAGATCCCAGATCTAGATGCGGTGCACGTTAGTGACGTGCATTCAGATTCAGCATCAACTCCCGCGGTCAACCCAGATGCCCGTACCTCCCACGGTTACAGCCAATTGAAGACCCAACTGTGGAAGCCCCAGATCCACGAGTGACGAGTTTAGCTATGGCAGCCGTACTTCGAAGGATGGAGGAATTAGAATAGCGTAATGAGCTGCAACGGCAAGCGGAGGCAAGACAGATCCGAGATTTGGAGGATCGGCTGTGGAGCGCAACAAATCCAGACCCCGAGCGGGCCATCGCGCATGTGGTGACAGATATGCAAATTGCGAACCCCCAGCAGGACACTCGAGAACGCACCCACCGTCCTGCAAGGGCTAATGTCGCACCCGGGTTCGTCCCACAAACCCTAGTGCACCCAGGTTCACGCCAACAGCCACGTCACCCTCCGGGCCATGGAAACGCTGGAAACAATCAGCAACCCCGGCAGGTACCAGACCCACAGCGCCCTGCCGAGATCCACCGTCAGGGGCCCATCACCCGGGCTCCAGATGACGTAACCGGGGTATACCGAAGAAAATACAACAGGGGGCAGTACAATGACAGTTGATGTGCCTCTGGCAAGTATGATTTTCTGTGTTAAAATTGATAAGAATTAAGTCACAAAAGAGCAATCTAAATACATATTTGCAAATTATATTGATTCTTTCTTGTCAATAATATTTCTCACGTATTGATTGTATTTTTACAGGAAAGAGAACTGAAAAGTATAAAAAGTTAAATGATGCAACTCATCAAATTAGTATCAGTACAATCTCCAGAGAATTGGCGCTAGTTGGCGCCAGATTGGCGCAAACTAGCGCCACACAGATGAAGCACAGCATCATGGCGCCACTAGGCGCCCAAATTTGACAAGGATTATGGTGCCACTAGGCGCCCAAAGACAAGAAGATTGGCGCCACTAGGTGCCCAAAAGTGCAAGGAGTTGGCGCCAAGTGGCGCCCAAGATACAAAGGGTGGCGCCAACTGCGCCGGTCCACGCAATCGGTTCCGACTTTTCGTATTCGAGGCAGCAAGTTGGCGCAAACGTGCGCCAAATCGGTGCCAACTGGCGCCGGGTTGCGAGAAAATAACACCGTCTTTCCGCGGGGGTATTTTTGGAAGAAGGAAAAAAATAAGTTTATAAATAGGATCCTTGTGCTAGACCTAGATATCTCATTCCAGTCAGAGGAGGCCGACGGCAGAGCTCTGAAGACTTCTACAGTTCTTCTTCTTCATCTATTTCTCTGTAATTTTATGCTTTTGAATATTGAATTATTTTTAGCCATGATTATGCTTGGCTAGTTTTCTTTTATTGTAGTTAGGGTCACGAGCCCTATGTGAACCCTTGTTACGATGGATTGATTTAGTTTTATTCATTTGTATAATTATCTTTGTCTCTACCTTGTGCGTATTTTCTATTTTCTTTATTAGAACTGATCAATCTGATAGTTGGGAATAGTTTGAGGGTTAGAACCCTAGATAGGAATATTGGGGTTTTTGATCTTGAAAGGGGGTAGGACAACAATTGGTATGCATGCTAGGAATAGATGTGTATTTAATTGCGAATGCTTAAATTATTGCGTTCATTGCTTAATACCATGAGGACCATTGCAAGGAATTGGGGTTCTAATTGGGGATTAAAGGGTTAACCTTGCAAGGAATTGAGGGTTAACTAATAAATATTTTTAGATAATAATTTATCCGAGTAATTATATGAATAAATATTGTGAATCAATCCAAAGTAAGAAGTGGGGATCATAAGGTGAGTGCGCTCTAACTACAATAGTTTTCTCATATTTTTAAAATCAAATCTCATTGTTATTGTTTTATTTCTCTTAAATAAAAATATAAAAACAAGTCTTTATTTTTATTTCATATTGTTACTCGAATTCAATTCACAATTTTCCAAACAACAAACCGAGTTTTCCAACTTAAGGGGACTGGTTATTGTAGTACTTGGTTTACAATCCCTGTGGAGATGATACTCTACTTACTCATTATATTACTTGTGCGATCGGTATACTTGCCGGAGAGCATCAACAGTCCCTTCGCGGATGAGATTGTAGAAGCTCCATACCCGGAAAATCTGAATTTATCTGAGTTGATCAAATACGACGGAACACAGGATCCGCAGGTACACTTGGATGCCTTTGATACAGCTATGTACATCAAAGGGATAGAGGAACCCTTGATCACAAGGCTTTTTGCAACCACATTAACCGGGGCAGCCCAGGCGTGGTTCTCGTCATTACCAGCGGGATCCATCAAATCCTTTGAGGAGTTTGGCGGGCGGTTCTTGCTGAACTTCGCCACCAGTAAGAAGCAGCCGAAGTCGGAATTCGCGCTGGGGAAAATTAAGCAACAACCAGGGGAGACGCTACAGAAATACCTAGATCGGTTCAAGTTGGCCGCGCTTCAGGTACCTGGATTGCCAGAAAACGTTCACTTACATCTGGTGATAGCCGGGTTGCACGGAACATCCCGATTAGCTAAGTCAGTATATAAGGATCCACCTCGGACCTTAGTGGAGTTTAACACGCGCTCCAAAAAATACCTGGAGCTCAAGCAGATGGAGTGGGAAAATGTGGACCAAAGGCAACAACCTGGTCAGGGGGACAAGCTCGGGGGCCGACGGATGAATGACCTTCGAGGAAAACGGCAGGATGATAGGCAACAGGCCAAGGGAAGGTTTGATAAATATGCCCCCTTGAACTCTTCTCGATCGCAAATATGGCGCGAAGTCACGTCCACCGACATGAAGAGAGTCGAGCGACCTCGGCCTCTACAGAACCAGGCTGGTTTAGATCGGACCCGGTACTGCGCATTTCACGATGGGCCGGGCCATACAACAGATGAATGTTGGGACCTTAGAGATGCAATTGAGAAGTACATTAGAGAGGGGAATTTGCGGCAGTATTTGATCCGTACGCAGGGATGGAGAAATAGGAAGAGGAGAGGCGGAAGGCTCGAAAATCCACCCAAGGATAAGAAGTTTAGAGAGGAAGGACGAGGTAAGAAGCCGGCTAAAGAAGATGACGAATTCCAATAGCCGGAGTTCGAATGCAACGTGATCAGTGGAGCTTTTGGTGGTGGTGGTGACACAATGAATGCCCGACGTAAATATTTGCGTGAGGTGCTTTCCATTCGAGAGCGCCCCAAGTTTAAACAGGAAGAGGAACCAGAGCAGCCGCTGTTATACTTTACAAAGAAGAAGCTCGAGGATGTAGTGCCAGGACATGTTGATGGGTTGGTGATTACAGGGACACTGGTCAATTGCAGAGTTAGGAAGATTTTTCTGGACAATGGGAGTTGCACCGACATAATTTTATGGCATGCATTTAAGAAAATGAATTTGGATGAAGAAGATTTGAAGGCTTGCAACACGGCTTTAATTGCGTTTAATGGCCGCAACATTACTCCTAAGGGGTATATTGATCTCCGATTAACATTGGGGACTAAAGAGGCATACAAATCCGAAAGGGTAAGGTTCATTGTAGCCGACTTCCTATCCGAATACAATGTGATTTTGGGAAGACCTACAATTCATGCTTGGGACATGCTAGTCTCAACCAAGCATCAAAATTTAAAAATGATTGGTAAGCAGGGTACGGGGCTTACCATAGCTGGGGACCAGAAGGAGTCTCGAGATTGTTACTTCAGATCTGTACGTGTGGTGGACCGAGATCCCGAAGGCGTAGCTATGATTAAGCAGAGTGGTTACCAATCTTCGAAGCGGAGCTCAGTTAATATGGTGGAATTGGATATGCGGGATGAAACTCAGATGCCGAGGCCGGAACCTGACGGAGAGCTAGAGGAGGTAACCGTGGGAGCGCCAGGACAAACAACAAAGATAGGAAAGGGGTTAACGGATGAGGAAAAAGCCCAGCTGGCCTCCTGTTTGAGGAGTTATAATGACGTCTTTGCTTGGAAATCTTCAGATATTCCAGGGGTGGATCCAGAATTTTGCTATCACAGGTTAGCTGTTTATCCCGACTCAAAGCCAGTAGCACAGAAGAAGAGGAAATTAAGCTCAGAGCGTCGACAGGTGCTAGAGGATCACGTGAAAGAACTACTAGAGGCCGGATTTATTAGGGAAATACAATACACAACCTGGTTGTCCAATGTAGTCATGGTGAAGAAGCCAAATGGAAAGTGGAGGGTATGCACAGATTACACTGACCTAAATAAGGTGTATCCTAAGGATGCATACCCAATGCCCAACATCGACCAGTTGGTTGATAGTTCCTCCGGGTTTCGAATGCTATCCTTCATGGAAGCTTATTCAGGATATAACCAAATTCCACTGCACCTTGAGGATCAGGAGAAAACAGCTTTCATCGCAGAAAAGGCAAATTACTGTTATAATGTGATGCCCTTTGGGCTGAAAAATTCGGGAGCCACATATCAACGAATGATGAACCGAGTATTCTCTGATCAACTGGGCAGGAACATCGAGGTATACATTGACGACATGATAGTGAAGTCGGTTGATATGCCAGTACACGTTCGTGACTTAACGCAGACCTTTGATAAGCTCAGGCAACATCGTATCAGGTTAAACCCGGCAAAGTGTGCCTTTGGGGTTTTCGCAGGGAAGTTCCTTGGCTTTATGCTCACGCATAGAGGGATAGAAGCGAATCCTGATAAGTGTGGGGCCGTTCTAAATATGGCGGCGCCAACAAGTAAGAAGGAGATACAGCAACTAACAGGAAGGTTGGCCTCTCTGACAAGGTTCCTACCCCGGTCGGCAGAGACAGCCTTGCCCTTCTTTAAGCTGCTGAGGAAAGAAGCTCAGTACGGTTGGACCTTGGAGTGTGAAGCTGCCTTCCAGGAGATCAAGAAGCAACTTGCTTCTCCTCCAGTGCTAGCAAAGCCAAGGGAGTCAGAAACTTTAATTTTGTACCTATCCGTTGGAGATGTGGCAGTTAGTTCGGCTCTGGTACAAGAGAATGCAGAGGGCCAACAACCGATATACTTCGTGAGTCGGCTCTTGCAAGGAGCCGAGCTTCGATATCAACGGCTGGAGAAGGTGGCTTTTGCCCTTCTAATCTCGGCAAGGAGGCTCTGAGCATATTTTCAAGGACACAGGATCCTGGTGCGATCCGACCTGCCAATCCGACAAATACTCCATAAGCCGGATTTGGCGGGAAGGATGATGAGTTGGGCGGTGGAATTATCGAAATTTGACATAACTTTCGAGAGCCGTAAAGCGATCAAGTCTCAGGCGTTGGCCGACTTCGTTCGCGAGCTCACATCAATCCAAACGACGGATCCTGCTGGCCTGGATACATGGAATGTGTATGTTGATAGGTCTTCTAATGCAAAGGGAAGCGGAGCCGAGGTAATTATTGAAAACCCTGACGGCGTTGCAATTGAGTACTCTATGCAAATGGACTTTGAAACTTCCAACAACCAGGCCGAGTATGAGGCCCTCATAGCCGGACTGTTGCAGGCACAAGAGCTCGGAGCTCGAAAAGTAAAGGTTTACAGTGATTCTCAGTTAGTCACCTCACAAATTGAAGGAAGTTACTAGGTCAAAGGACCCCTACTGGCCAAGTATCTTGAGCATGCAAGACGAATAATGGCAGATTTCGAAAAAGCAGAGGTTAGTCACATTCCAAGAAGTGAGAACAGCAGAGCGGACATATTGTCCAAGCTGGCGAGCATAAAGGGATGGGGAAACCACCGGACCGTGAATGAGCAAAGTATCCTAGAACCGACATGCATCATGCAGATTTCCCAGGTGAATGATTGGCGTACTCCCATTATTGAGTACGTCGAAAATGGAACGTTGCCTGTCGAGAGAGCAGACGCCAAGAAGCTAATCCGAGATGCAGCGTCATACACCATGATAGAGGGACAACTTTATAAGAAAGGTATTTTCACACCTCTATTAAAATTTTTGAACTCGGATAGGGCCCAGTATGTTTTGGCGGAAATCCATGAGGGAATTAATGGGCAACATGTTGGGGGAAAGCGTTAGCCCGGAAGGCTCTTCGAGCTAGATACTTTTGGCCGTCCATGGTCTACGATGCGAAGGACCACGTACAGAAGTGCGATCAGTGTCAGAAGCACGACAGGAACTTGTTGGCTCCCCCTGAGGAGTTGAGTATAATCACGGCTCCCTGGCCGTTCTACAAATGGGGAATGGATCTCTTGGGTCCATTTGCAGCAGCGGAAGGCCAGCTTAAATGGTTAGTGGTGGCAGTTGATTATTTCACTAAATGGATTGAAGCGGAACCAGTCGCGACCATCACTTCGGCCCGGATTCAGCGATTTCTGGAGAGGAACATAATATGTCGGTTTGGGATTCCGGCAGAAGTGGTAACCGATAACGGGACTCAATTTTCAAGTAAAGGGTTTCAAAACCTGATGGAGAATTTCCACGTCCGGCATCGCTTTGCCTTAGTTGAACACCCTCAAACAAACGGCAAAGCAGAAGCTGCAAACAAAGTCATCGTGGAAGGTCTTCGAAGGCGTATAGAACAATCCGCCAAAGGAAGGTGGGTTGAGGAGTTATATTATGTCTTGTGGGGGTACAAAATCACAACCCAGACTTCTGTTGGGGAATCCCCATTCAGGCTAACCTACGGGTGCGAGGCTATGATCCCGGTAGAATTGGGAGAACCATCTTGGAGAAGGGTTCAAGCCTTGTCGCAAGCAGAAGAAGTGAACAACAGCAAAATAGCCGTAGAACTGGATCTGATAGACGAAGGTCGGGTCATGGCGCACTGCCGAAATGTTAGCGCCAAGCAGCTCGTGGCTAGTAGGTTCAATAAGAAGGTGAAGCCCATGATGTTTGAGACAAAGGACTTGGTGCTCCGAAGAGCAGATGTCGGAGGACGAAACACAGCTGATGGGAAGTTGGCTCCAAGATGGGAAGGCCCGTTCAGAATAAAAGAAAAACTTTCAAGAGGAGCCTACGTTTTGGAAACCCTGCAGGGGAAACGCCTGGCAAGAACATGGAACGCGGATAAGCTAAAAAAGTATTACAGTTGACGGAAACCTCAATGCCTTTCTTTCATCTTTTCTTTTATTGTATTACGCAATTTGAATTATGAATAAATTTGAACAACTTTTGTTTCCTCTTACAATTACGAATACATTATGAAGCAGCAGAACTAAAGTGTTTATGCCATAAAACATAAATCCGAGGTATTTGAACCTAACCTGCCAAATCGACAAGGTTAAGAGTTCTAGTCGTGCGAGGGAATCCGGGGTATTTGAACCCGTCCAGCCCAACGGGCGGGATAGAGCGTTCTAGCCCCGTAAGGCAATCCGGAGGTATTTGAACCCGTCCAGCCCAACGGGAGAGATTGAGCGTTCTAGCCCCGTAAGGCAACCCGGAGGTATTTGAACCCGTCCAGCCCAACGGGAGGGATTGAGCGTTCTAGCCCCGTAAGGCAATCCGGAGGAATTGAACCCGTCCTGCCCAAAGGGTGGGATTGAGTGTTCTAGCCACGGAAATAGACACGAGGTATTTGAACCCGTCCAGCCCAAAGACAGGATAAAGTGTTCTAGCCCCGTAAGAAAATCTGTCGGATTTGAACCTGTCTCACCCAAAGAGTGGAATTGAGTGTTCTAGCCACGGAAATAGACTCGAGGTATTTGAACCCGTCCAGCCCAAAGGCAGGACAGAGTGTTCTAGCCCCGTAAGAAAATCTGTCGGATTTGAACCCGTCTCACCCAAAGGGTGGAGTTGAGCGTTCTAGCCGCGGTAACAAACTCGAGGTCCATGTTCTTGCCTCAAGCGCATGTTATTGTTCTAGCCCTGCAACTCGGGACGAGGTATTTGAACTCGTTTTCTCAAGGAGGGATCAAAGGTGAACGAAGGAAACGATATATACGGAGTAGAGATATGCCAAAACAGTATGTTCGAATTTACCAGATATCATTAATAGCAAAAAAATAAAAAAATGACCAACATTCGGCCTAAAAATTCGTAAATGTCAATTCGAAATCAAGATTACAAAATACCCCGGCATTCCGGGTCTTCAAGGTTGATCCGAGATTTGGGGAAAATTTCTCTCATTTCTTGCTCGAATTGATGTGTGGCGGCTTCCATCACCGAATTCCGGGGGGAGGTGCATCGTTGGTGGTTTCGGTCTCCGTAGCTGACGGGAAGAACGTGTCACCCAAAACATATCCAAAGCAATCTAGCTGGTCCGTGTTCAGGGTCGCGTCTGGATTGAAATGCTTGATTTGACTGACGGCATTGTTGAACGCAATTTTAGCAGCATTCTCCAGCACGGATTGACTATTATCATAATCAGCTTGCAAATTCTTGACATCAGTCTCCAGCTTCTGGACCTGCTGATTCAAAGCAGCGTTGTTCCTCTCCAATTCGGATAAGGACGACAGTTTTCCTTTGACAAAGTTTATAATGGCCTCCTTTTCTGCCTGAAGGCCGAATGAGTCCGAAATAAGCTTCATGTCAGCCTGGTATTGCTCCAAAGACGCTGTTGAAGCAGCAGCGGATATGGTCAAATTCTTATTATCCTCAACCAGCTTGTCGTGCTCAGCTTGGAGGGTATCCCTGTCGGTCTGGAGGGCATCCTTTTCAGCATGAAGCTCGGAATGCTTCTCCAGCAGAACCGAATACGGTTTCACCAAAGAGGCCGCTTTGTAAGTGTACAGTTCGACCATCTCTAGCTCTTTCACTTGGGCCTTTGACAAAATGCCGGTCCCGTAAAATTCCGGCGGCGGACGAGTCACTCCGCGCAATTCCGTCTCCATTCCGTCTCCATTCCGATTGCCCATAAAGCGCCTCTCTTGAGACCGGCAGGAAGGGGTGAGGGAGCCGGATTACCATGCTCCGTAGATGTCACAACCCCGGCAACCCCAGTTGACCCTGCGGGGGAGGATGTCTGGTAATTCCCAACATCCAGCCAGCTATCATCATTGGTTAAATCCATCACGCAGAAGCATTCCGAGCTGTACACTTACAAAGCGGCCTCTTTGGTGAAACCGTATTCGGTTCTGCTGGAGAAGCATTCCGAGCTTCATGCTGAAAAGGATGCCCTCCAGACCGACAGGGATACCCTCCGAGCTGAGCACGACAAGCTGGTTAAGGATAATAAGAATTTGACCATATCCGCTGCTGCTTCAGCAGCGTCTTTGGAGCAATACCAGGCTGACATGAAGCTTATTTCGGACTCCTTCGGCCTTCAGGCAGATAAGGAGGCCATTATAAACTTTGTCAATGGAAAACTGTCGTCACTATCCGAATTGGAGAGAAACAACGCTGCTTTGAATCAGCATGTCCAGAAGCTGGAGACTGATGTCAAGAATTTGCAAGCTGATTGTGACAATAGTCAATCTGTGCTGGAGAATGCTGCTGAAACTGCGTTCAACAATGCCGTCAGTCAAATCAAGCACTTCAATCCAGACGCGACCCTGAACACGGACCAGCTAGATTGCTTTGGATATGTTTTGGGTGACACGTTCTTCCCGTCAGCTACGGAGACCGAAACCACCATCGATGCACCTCCCCCCGGGAATCCGGTGATGGAAGCCGCCGCACAGCAATTCGAGCAAGAAATGAGAGAAATTTTTCCCCAAACCTCGGATCAACCTTGAAGACCCGGAATGCTGGGGTATTTTGTAATCTTGATTTCGAATTGACATTTACGAATTTTTAGGCCGAATGTTGGTCATTTTTATTTTTTTTGCTCTTAATGATATTTGGTAAATTCGGACATACTGTTTCGGCATATCTCTACTCCGTATATATCGTTTCCTTCGTTCACCTTTGATCCCTCCTTGAGAAAACGAGTTCAAATACCTCGTCCCGAGCTGCAGGGCTAGAACAATAACATGCGCTTGAGGCAAGAACATGGACCTCGAGTTTGTTACCGCGGCTAGAACGCTCAACTCCACCCTTTGGGTGAGACGGGTTCAAATCCGACAGATTTTCTTACGGGGCTAGAACACTCTGTCCTGCCTTTGGGCTGGACGGGTTCAAATACCTCGAGTCCATTTCCGTGGCTAGAACACTCAATTCCACTCTTTGGGTGAGACGGGTTCAAATCCGACAGATTTTCTTACGGGGCTAGAACACTTTATCCTGCCTTTGGGCTGGACGGGTTCAAATACCTCGTGTCTATTTCCGTCAACTGTAATACTTTTTTAGCTTATCCGCGTTCCATGTTCTTACCAGGCGTTTCCCCTGCAGGGTTTCCAAAACGTAGGCTCCTCTTGAAAGTTTTTCTTTTATTCTGAACGGGCCTTCCCATCTTGGAGCCAACTTCCCATCAGTTGTGTTTCGTCCTCCGACATCTGCTCTTCGGAGCACCAAGTCCTTTGTCTCAAACATCCTGGGCTTCACCTTCTTATTGAACCTACTAGCCACGAGCTGCTTGGCGCTAACATTTCGGCAGTGCGCCATGACCCGACCTTCGTCTATCAGATCCAGTTCTACGGCTATTTTGCTGTTGTTCACTTCTTCTGCTTGCGACAAGGCTTGAACCCTTCTCCAAGATGGTTCTCCCAATTCTACCGGGATCATAGCCTCGCACCCGTAGGTTAGCCTAAATGGGGATTCCCCAACAGAAGTCTGGGTTGTGGTTTTGTACCCCCACAAGACATATTATAACTCCCCAACCCACCTTCCTTTGGCGGATTACTCTATACGCCTTCGAAGACCTTCCACGATGACTTTGTTTGCAGCTTCTGCTTGGCCGTTTGTTTGAGGGTGTTCAACTGAGGCAAAGCGATGCCGGACGTGGAAATTCTCCATCAGGTTTTGAAACCCTTTACTTGCAAATTGAGTCCCGTTATCGGTTACCACTTCTGCCGGAATCCCAAACCGACATATTATGTTCCTCTCCAGAAACCGCTGAATCCGGGCCGAAGTGATGGTCACGACTGGTTCCGCTTCAATCCACTTAGTGAAATAGTCAACTGCCACCACTAACCATTTAAGCTGGCCTTTCGCTGCTGCGAATGGACCCAAGAGATCCATTCCTCATTTGTAGAACGGCCAGGGAGCCGTGATTATACTCAACTCCTCAGGGGGAGCCAACAAGTTCCTGCCGTGCTTCTGACACTGATCGCACTTCCGTACGTGGTCCTTCGCATCGTAGACCATGGACGGCCAAAAGTATCCAGCTCGAAGAGCCTTCCGGGCTAACGCCTTTCCCCCAACATGTTGCCCATTAATTCCCTCATGGATCTCCGCTAGAACATACTGGGCCCTATCCGAGTTCAAACATTTTAACAGGGGGGTGAAAATACCTGTCTTATAAAGTTGTCCCTCTATCATAGTGTATGATGTTGCAGCTCGGATTAGCTTCTTGGCCTCTGCTCTGTCGACAGGCAACGTTCCATTTTCGACGTACTCAACAATGGGAGTGCGCCAATCATTCACCTGGGAAATCTGCATGATGCATGTTGGTTATGGGATACTTTGCTCAATCACGGTCCTGTGGTTTCCCCATCCCTTGGTGCTCGCCAGCTTGGACAATATGTCCGCTCTGCTGTTCTCACTTCTTGGAATGTGACTAACCTTTGCCTTTTCGAAGTCTGCCATTATTCGTCTTGCATGCTCAAGATACTTGGCTAGTAGGGGTCCTTTGACCTGGTAACTTCCTTCAATTTGCGAAGTGACCTACTGAGAATCACTGTAAACCTTCACTTTTCGAGCTCCGAGCTCTTGTGCCTACAACAGTCCGGCTATGAGGGCCTCATACTCAGATTGGTTGTTGGAAGTTTTGAAGTCCATTTGCATAGAGTACTCAATTGCGACGCCGTCAGGGTTTTCAATAATCACCCCGGCTCCGCTCCCCTTTGCATTAGAAGACCCTCCAAATCTCGGATCTGCCTTGCATACGCTTGCCGTTGCAGTTCATTACGCTGTTCCAATTCCTCCATCCTTCGAAGTACGACTGCCATAGCTAAGCTCGTCACCCGTGGATCCGGGGCTTCTGCAGTTGGGTCTTCAATTGGTTGTAACCCTGGGAGGTATGGGGCATCTGGGTTGACCGCAGAAGTTGATGCTGAATCTAAATGCACGTCACTAACGTGCACCGCATCTAGATCTGGAATCTGCGGCATCTGCTGCCTTGATTCCGCGGGATCTTCCCTAACAGAAGGAGGAACTTGGAGGTTTGATGCGGAGGGTTGACGAAGGCCACTCCTTGTTGTTCTCACCATCGATTTGGTTGACTTTCACGATGTTTGCCATGGAAAAGTTCCCCACAGACGGCGCCAATGTTCTGCCCTATGCAGAAGTGTCCAATTAGGATTGGATGATTGATCTATGATTCAGGTGTCTTCTCTGGATACCTATGAGTTAGGTATCTTGAGGACAGCAGATCACACACTTTCTGATGGCCTTAGCCTTGGGGAAAGTGTGTGTGTGTACTATCTAGGCTGCTTCAATAGATAAAAAGAGATTAGGTCATACCTGTGGCGTTTAGCTCCTATTTATAATGCTTACCCGTGGGCCTGTGCTGCCATTAAACGCGATTAAAGCCGTGTTGCAAGTCTTCAAATCTTCTTCGTCCAAATTCATCTTCTTAAACGCGTGCCATAAAATTATATCGGCTCAACTTCCATTGTCCAGAAAAATCTTCCTAACTCTGCAATTGACCAGTGTTCATGTAATCACCAACCCGTCAACATGTCCTGGCACTACATCCTCGAGCTCCTTCTTTGTGAAGTATAACAACGGCTGCTCTGGTTCCTCTTCTTGTTTAAACTTGGGGCGCTCTCGAATGAAAAACACCTCACGCAAATATTTACGTCGGGCATTCATTGTGTCGCCACCACCACCAAAAGCTCCACTGATCACGTTGCACTCGAACTCCGGCTCTTGGAATTCGTCATCCTCTTTAGCCGGCTTCTTACCTCGTCCTTCCTCCTTAAACTTCTTATCTTTGGGTGGGCGAATATAATTTGCTGATTGAATTATCATTGATTGCTGATTGCAACTGGATAATTATTGATTGATGATTGAACCAAAATTATTGCTAATTATCTTCTTCATACTGTGATGTAAGGAATAATTATCTTCTTCATACTAATTATCTAAAAAGGAAGGAGATCCAGATCCATTCAAATAAGGAAGAAAATCCACCTAGATGAATACAAGACTTGGGCAAAAGAAGCCAAGCTAAAAGAAGAGCCGATGCAAGAGAAGTCGGGCTCGAGAAAAAAGGCAAATACTGCCGGCCTAAACTTAAAATCAAAATGTTGACATTTCACTTTTTTAGATTATGAAGAAAGAGTCAAAATGAAGACCGGCCCACCGGAATAAAAATGGTTTATTTATAAAGAATGAAGATGGGTTTGGAGAAATGTGGTCCTAGAAAGAGAATCACCCCAATCCGCGAAAAAATGAAGACGGGTTTGGAGAGATGGGATCCTAGAGAAAAGGGTCACACCCCAATCCGGTATAAAGACCCAAAATAAAGCAAATTCGGGGAGTCCGAACCCGTCTTGCCAAAACGGAAGGACTAAGTGTTTTTGCCACGGAAAATAAATCCGGGGTATTTGAACCTAACCCGCCAAGACGGCAGGGTCGAGAGTTCTAGCCTCGCAAGGGAATCCGGGGTATTTGAACCCGTCCAGCCCAAAGGGCAGGATAGAGTGTTCTAGCCCCGTAAGGGAATCCGGCGGAATTGAACCCGTCCTACCCAAAGGGTAGGATTGAGAGTTCTAGCCGCGGAAACAGACACGGGGTATTTGAACCCGTCCAGCCCAAAGGGCAGGATAGAGTGTTCTAGCCCCGTAAGGAAATCTGTTGGATTTGAACCCGTCCTACCCAAAGGGTAGGATTGAGTGTTCTAGCCACGGAAACAGACACGAGGTATTTTCGCCCACAAGGCGAAATTGAGAGTTCTAGCCTTGCAACAATGCAGGGGTATTTGAACTCGTCTCGCCCACAATGCGAGATTGAGAGTTCTAGCCTCGCAACAATGCAGGGGTATTTGAACCCGTCTTGCCCAAGGGCAAGATTGCGAGTTCTAGCCCGGCCTACAACGTCGAGGTATTTGAACCCTCTTGCCTACGGGTAAGGTTGCGAGTTCTAGCCGAGGTAAATAATATTGGAAGATAGGGGAACGCCCTTAGATTCTCAAGTTCTTGCGAAGAAATCAAAATTATTGCTATGAAAGCAACACATCCAACTTTTGACAAGAAATCAGACTTGCGAAATAAAATCAAGAGATCACTGCTATTACATCCCGACAGCCTGGACAACCAAACTACCGGGCTGGGGGGCAACTGTTATGGACCTGACAAAGGCCCGTATTCTAGAAGGACCAATAAAGGACAACACAAAAGGAAATGAATCTCCTATTGATGACAATCCTATCCAGACAGCTAAGCAGTTGGACTTGGGCCCCCAATATTCCTAAGAGGCTCAGAATTACACTCCTTCAGGTAACCCATCTATAAATACAGGGTTAAACCAATAAGGTACGGACACTCTCTAAACCCTCTCTCTTAGCTTGTCACTGTGCACACACCCCACGCCTTGACTATGTCGATTATTATTGTGCACAGTGATCAGCCTACCCTCAAGGGTATCTCTTTCATAGATACTTGAGAGAGGGCACCTAGATCCTACGTAAAATATACCAGCCACCGGTTGGACATCTCTGTCTTTCAGACATAACAGTTTCCATGTATTCTTGGTCTTCAGATAACAGAACACTGCATGAAATTTTTTACTCCTAAACAAAAAAAAAAGATGCTAATTTAACAGTGATCTCTTAGATTAATTAATCATCTAGGGGTGTATTATATATGGCCAGTTGTCCGAGTGGGTTGGACATTTTAGCAATGTTCCATATGCTGAAGAACAATGTGTAAATTTACAAATGCAATTCAAACAAGATGCATTTTTCCACATGCTAAATTTTTAAAATAGCATATATGGTAATTTTGAACAACACTGAATGTACATGTCGGCATGCATGTACTAGTGATCTAGCTAGTGCTGTTGTGCATACATCACACTATTAATAGGGAGAATGAAGTGTATATGGAAAAAGAGTATTTACCTTTAATCAGTTTGTTGAAGCCTTTTCATTCTTCATTATCATATGGATCGATTTAGAGTTGTCCTCCTCAACCATTTCCCTTAGTATATCATCTTCAATCTTCTGTGCTTGCCATTTGGAAGGATCTTCCACAAAAGCCTCACTGAAAATCATGCTTGAAACCCACTCTTTCCAAGTGGTTCTTCTGTACTTATCTTCCTCCAATGTGCCTTTTGTCAAGAGCTGATACACATAAACCATTTTTTGCTGACCAGGACGAAAAGCCCTTGCAATAGCTTGCTTAGTTTTTGATGGATTCCACTCTGAGTCCAACATAATCACTCTAGAAGCTGCTGTTAGACTAATACCTTCACCACAAGCTGTAATTGAAGCAAGAAGTATCTTTGATATTCCACCATTTTCCTCAAACTTTTCTATCACTTTCCCACGTTCAAAGAGCTCTTGCTCCCCATTAAGTACCAAAATTTCTCTACCCTTTTTCCATTTGAAGATCTTCTCAAATAGTTCTACTAATAACTTCACAGGTGCATGGTTGTGGCAAAAGATAAGAACCTTCTCCTTCTGGATAACACGAAATACAAGGTTCAAAACAAATCTTAGCTTTGACCCCATTTTGAAATCTAACTTGCATTTATCTAGTTGCTTCATTTGCTGAGGAGTGAAAAACTTATCAGCCCATGTCGCTGTTTTGACTAACCATGGATGTATTGATCCAAGTGTTATCAAAAGCTCTATCTCCAGAGGGTATCCCTTGAGCACAGCCGTTTTCTCGTGCAGTGTCTGCAGAATCTCATGCTGAATATCAGTTGTATTCATTAACAACGTGTAAAGTTGCAAACCAGGAAGATTGTCAGAATTCCCACTATCATAAACATCTATGAAACTATTTGTTAGTTTCCTCAACATGCTTAGACCCTGCATCCTCACCTCACCAGTATATGAGTCAATTCTCTTAGCAATGTTATCTAAGAAGAATTTCCTAGCCCTTGACTCTAGTAAATGTGGTGCTTTCTCTGCTGTTTTACTTCCCCTCCTATATTTAGGGTCTAATTCTTTCAGCACTTCGTGAACAAACTTTGGTCTTGCCATGCAAAGTGTGTTAAAGTATTCACAGAAATTGTTCTGAAACAATGTACCCGAAAGTACTATTCTCAGTTTTGTCTCTACTTTCATCAAAGCTTTCCTCAACCTTGATTTAGTGCTTCTAGGATTGTGCCCTTCATCTAGTATCAGGATCCCAGGGCTTTCCCTCAATACTTTAGCCATATACTTTCTGTGTGCAAACTTTGAATTCTCTCGCGTCAATGATAAAAATGAAGTATAGCCCATGACTAGAACACTGGGGTGTGCATGCCACTTTTGTATCTTATCCAATGAATCCAAAACATGCTTGACATCATTAGTGGGCTTTGGAATTCCAGGAAGAACCATTGATTGGTCATTGAAGTCTCTCTGGCTTCTACGACTATGAATCATATACACTGGTAAAGAAACCTTCCATTTGATAAATTCTTTGTGCCAAGTATATAGTATAGTTTTTGGAGCAAGGATCAGAGGTCTCTTCCATGGGAATAACTTCAAATAGCTAGCAAGAAAAGCAATAATGGTAAGAGTTTTTCCAGCTCCAGGAGCGTGAGATATCACACAACCACCTCTTCTTTTGGATTCTGATTCCACAAGTGCTGGTTTCATAGACCCTGCAATATTTTGCCAAAGAAATTCAAAGGCTTTCTTCTGGTGGACATGCATCTTTTCTTTAAGTTCAGGAATCAATGACCAAACGTTTTGATTTTCTTCAGATATAGGTTCATCACGAGAAGCATGAGTCGAGAACAGATTGAAATCATCATCATTATCAGCCTTTGGTTCTGACTCTTCTTCAATGCATTGCTTTTCCCCTCGGTACCATCCTCGACGTTCTACCTGCCAATATCAACAAGGTTATGATCAGATTCTTAATGGGGGCAATAGACAAAATATCTAACCAAATCAGGAACTAAATTTAGAGTTGTGTAAGGCTTTTGAAATAGCGAATTAAATAAACCACACATGGAGATTCTTTAAGTTTTGAACTTGACTTACAAAGGGTGCTGAAATATTTCTTATCTCAGTAGTCACATAGCCACATTTGAGGCAGTAAATTCCAATCTGTTCATCCAATCTATTATCGTGTTGACAAGTTTCATTTGGTTTTTCCACTTTCTCAGCAAGATTGGCAGCATTTGAACCCTGATTTGATAGTTGAACTGAATCAGCCTCAGAAAAGAATACATACATATATATATATATATATATATATATATATATATATAAAAAAAAAAGATACTTATACAAACACAAATACAAGACATGGAACAAAGAGAGAGAGGAAGCAATTGTTAAACCTCTGTTTCTTCAAGATAACTTGATGCCAATGCCATATCCATTTCTCTCCATAACATATCCATTTCAGAGAGTTCTTCCTCAGCCTCTCCTTCAGATGTTTCAGCTTCCTTCTCTTTCCCGAAGCAACTTGTTTCCGTCCACTTCTCCTTAATACTTGGCTCTTCCACAATTGGTATCTTATTCATGTTCTTCAAGTGTGAGTCTATGATTTCCTTGTAAACATCAGCATTTAAGGTTCTGTCTTTATAAGCTCTTTCTACATAATGATTTCTGCTTGTTGTATTCATTGAATGATACTTTTTATCTTCCACACCTTTTTTTGAATTTAACCCTTCCCATCTTGGTTCAATATCCATATCATCAAATTCAGACACATCCTTCCTCTGAACCTTATGGTCCCTAGTTTGGTTCTCATTTTGATTTGCATCACCTGAATTTACTTCCTTCCTTTTCTTCTTCCTATGGTACACTCTAAGCTCCTTAGAAGAACTCACCTTATCGACCTCTTTAGGACAGTTTTCAAATAAACCAGTTGCAATTGCTAATGGCAATGGCTCTTCATCATCTTTCCCTTTTCTTTTCTTGTATGGCCTGGTTTGAACATAATCAACATCCAACTCTGAAACATCACAACCAAGGTAACGATCAGGTTGTGTGTTGCGACGTTTGGAACGTCGTAAGCCTTCAGCTTCATAAGATTGTGGTGTCACTTCATCTTCATGGGAATCATGTGCATTGCAGCCAATGCTTTTGGTGTCAGATGTATCAACTTTAGTAACAAAGGGTTCTAATATGCCATCTTTTACTTTGAAGTTCACCACATTTATATGAGAATTTGTGTTTGATGAAGAGCAAATAGTATCATCATTTCCCAAAACTTGATACACAATCTTGTTTTTCACAGATCGTGCACAGAATGAAACCTTCGTTAAAACAGAAGCAACAACTAACCATGAAAGATCGGATAGAAAATTTCCTGAAATCAGTTTAGGTTGTGATGATACTGTGGAACAGTCTTCAGATGAAGCCCATCGATAGTACTGATCTTCACAACTATCACGTTCAAGCTTTTGGAGGATGGATATTTGATTTCTTTCAACAACTTTAACCTCCTTACTAAGAGTTCCTTTCTGTGTACCAAGGAAACCTTGATTATCATACAAGTTCACATAGTATTGACATGAGCACCCAGATTCGTGGGATTTTCTCTGTATGGAATTTATTTTAGCATCAGCCCACACCTAGAATTAGAGAAAAAAACAAAACAAAGAGAATTTGATTAGACTTAATGTCTCAGAAACTACATGTCTCAAATAAAATGCAATGATGCTAACAAAACAACATCAAAAGAGGCCATAGTGATCCCCTAATAAATGCATACAAACACCAATCTTTCATATTAGTAAAGCAGATAGTTTTTACCGAGTAAATGTGTTCTATTTGGCTATCACCTCATATAAGGAGAACACTTGAAAACAAAAATTTCATAACACAACGCAATGGCACAGCATTAACATGATAAAAACAGTTGATGTGACATTAAAATGCACAAATATTCCAGGCATTGAGACATTAAATGTCTATTGCAAATATATGCATTGAAGGCAAATTGTAAACAGACATCAAATCAAATGGAATACACTCTCACGCTATAGGATGCAAACTTGAGACCACCAAGACCAAAGCGATCATCATGGACAATTCTAATGTAGGCATATATAATGCACTCCTGGCTCCTACGTATTTAAGGCATACAGCAAAATATCCAATGATCAATGATTAATAAGGAACAGAGATGCAGAATTAATTCACATAAACACCAATTTCATGAAATATACACGACAATATAGAAAAGAAGCCATGACTCGCTCACATGAAGCATGATAAGCCAAAGATACACACACACACACAACATATATATATCCTTAAAATTAAGTAGGGAAAACTTCAAAAATAATCCCGCAAGTCTCTTCTAGAATCACTTACCCCCTTCCCAAAATTTTGAATCATTTACACCATCAAAATACACAAAAAAATAGTATGTTTTTTTATTTCAGCAAAAAAGTATCAAGCAATTTCAACATCAAAGGAAGAATTTGAACAATGTACCACTGCCACATAATTAATACATTGTTTTATGCATGCACCATTGTCAATCTAGCTCATACTTTGGATCAGTGAGATTGCTTTGATAACATGGTCTTATTTATCCTTAAGGTTTACTTACTTAACCAAATGATGTCTCAAAGGGTCTGCTGAAAATTCTATAAAGTTCAAGAAACTAAAAAAGCCTCAACTTACAGGATTATCAATAAAATCATCTGAATCATCACTACATTGAGAGGGTGATAGCACACATATGTCAATCCCAGGTCGTAAAAAGCAAGAGCAATCTGATGAAGAAGCTTTCCTTGACCTTATCCGAATGTCTGCAAAGCCTTTTTCAATGGTCATATGGTGATTATCCATAAAATGTATGGTAAGAGTTCCTGACTCAATTTTTATGAACTCCACAGCTTGCCATGAGCCAAACACAAATGCCTCGAAGGCTATTCAGAAAGAAGAAATTGAGGAAGTTAATATGATAAAAGCAAAAAACAAAAACTTATGATAAAAAAAAAAAAAACTAATGATGTGAACACAATAGAAGAAAATTACTCAATATCAAGTCTGTCCTGTAAATTAAAGATGACTTTTTACCATGATCATGCCAATGACTATATTTTCAATATAGTAAAATCAATGCTGTAATCACATTGGTATTTTTGTTTTGCGTTTATTGTTTTTCTTTTCTTTGACATGCATGGTGATGGATTGATATAAAGAACAGGAAAGACTCACCATAAGAATCGAATGGGTGCTTCCATTGATGCAAATGTCTTTTTCTTTGCGTCATTGAATCTGAGTCTAACAACTGACAGACCAGCCGATCTTGTATTTCACCTGAAGTAGATGATTAGGCATCAAATATAAACACAAACTTCCACTTAAGATCAACGCTTCATTAAGCTTTCACAATAAACAAGCTAGTGGCATACAAGGGATATAAATCATGGCATTATAAACAAACACACACATGTATATATACATATATATATATAGGTGGGGAACCAACCACAATAACATCTAAACAAACCTGTTTCTTTTTCTTCCATAATTTATGTTCATGTTTATTTACTGTAAGCCTTTGCTATAAAATATATTCACATCTTAACTATCTATCTATGAATCCCTTAATGGATAATGACGCAATTATCCTAACAACATAATATGATAAAGATAATAGAGATAAAACCCTTATCCCTATCAATAAGAGGTTAAGTCCTACATCAACCGGAAGATCTAACTCAAGCCCAAAAGATAACCCTTATATATAAGTATTGGTTATAAGGCAATCAGGATGTCTGTCTATAAGATATCATATATGCGGTATAGTTCTACTGCTAGGACCGAACAACCTTGTCCCCAACAGATAAAGAAAAATCAAGAATAAAGATAGAACGCCATGATTCCAACATGTTCTCATTCATTCACACATATTTCTCTAAACTCTGAAAAGACCGTGACTTTTAAGGAGAACCTTGGAATCTTGGAACCATGGTTGGTGTTATCATGTGATTCGAAAGATTCACCGGTAAGATTCATGCGATAAGCTTCTTGCAAATGCAAGAAAACACTGCCTCCTACGCAGTCTTTCCTAATTCTTGCACATATATCACAGAGCTTTATAGTACCATGCCTCTTTTCTGAAAACACGCTATGGAGTCGAGTAGGCCAGTATGGGTAATATATATATATAGAGAGAGAGAAAGAGAAAGAGAGAGACCCAAAAAATAATTTTTTAAATACCCCATTAACGTATACACGGAAAAAAGGATTGTTTAGAAGAAAAAATATTGCTTTTCGAAAAACAAGTTTTCATAGAGAATTCAAACTCGAGATTATTTTTCGACAACCTTACACCGTTACACGTTGTGAAAAGCACTCAACTTTAAAGACTTTCACTAGGTCACAATCAATGGCATTATCAGCGTAAGATTTTAATTTGAATTCAAAAAACATCAAATAAAGAGTCTAGCCAATCAAATATTTCCGGGAAATCCCGATAAACATGTTTCACAGGAACCAAACCCTAAACTAGGGTCAATCTTTACCTGAAAAGTAGCTTCTACGAAAATCTTTAAAACTCACGGTGCAAGAAGAGGTGTTGCATGGAAAGAAAAGAATAAGAAAGAGGGCTGAGAAAACATGGTAGAAAACAATGAACCAATGATGCTGTCTCCAAAGGTAAACTTGGCTTTGGAGTGAGTGCAGTGAAGACTGGAGTGGGGTTCAAGGAAAGCCTTAAATTCAGTGCGTTATCATTGACTGGGATTAGGGGTTTGGTGGTTAAAGATCAAGATCAGACTATTTCAAAAAAAAAAAAAAAAATCAAGATCAGACAGAATCAATTAGATAAATAGAAATTTATTGAGCCATTAAATGCATTACAACACATTAAATAATATTAATTTTATATCTTTTTAATAAAATATATTGTGATTTTTTAATTAAATGCATAAATAATATAATATTAAAAACTTTTAAATTTTTAAGATATTAAATTGAGGGAGGTTTTATTTATAACTTTTTTTTATCTTACAATTACTTACAATCTCATTTATTATTATTAGATTAAAATTAAACCAACGACTCTCTGTCATTTTATAATCATTAATTAATTTTGATCCAATAATAATAAAAATAGTTATAGAGGAATAAATGTTGTAAAATAGTTTACCAAAAAAAAAATGTTGTAAAATAAATCTACTAAGGATATGGCTTGCGTTGCGGAGTAATCATTTAATATTTTTACAAATTTGTTTATGGGATAGGATATTGTAACAATCAATTAGTGTTACTGTCAATGTTACTACCAATCAATTTCACGGTTAGATCGATTATGTTGATCCAACGGTTATATTTATTTCTATCTTTGTACGGTTATGATTTTTCATATTTAATGTGAAAGCATTAAATATGAAAAATCATAATCATACAAGGGTAGAAAAAAGTATAAAGTATTAAATACGGGGAATCATAATCATACAAAGATGAAAATAAATATAACCGTTAGATCAACTGATTGGTAGTAATATTGGTAGTAAGACTAATTGATTGTTATAGTATCCTTTCTCCATAAATAAATAGTTTTGGTTCGTGGAATTTGCCTTAAACATGCATATGATTTAGGCCAAAACATAAATGGAAAAATGTTAAAAAATAATTAAAATCATAAAATTATGCATAATTAATTGAGGTAGAATCTAAAATATTTTTACTGAAAAAGAAAAAAAATAAAAATAAAAAAAAATTTATAATCTAAATAAAAAAAATTAAAGAAAATTAATAATGAAATATATTATTTTATGAAAGACAATAAAATAAAATATTAAGTTACTCTAAAAAGAATATATTCTATTTTATTATATAAAGTTAGATTATATGGTAATTAAGTAATATGTATCTTACTCTAAGATTTAAAGAAACTTTCATTTACGGTAAGAAATCTTTCATTATTACTATATTTATAGATATGGAAAAATATTTGAAAAAAATCAATCAATATAATATATAAAGGAAGTAAAAGTTATAGCATATATAAAAAGAAAAAAAGATTTGAAAAATTATATCGTGACAACTGGTTCGAAAAATCATAAAAAGATACATAATAAGTCATTGATATTCAGAGCAAATTAGAAGATACATAGATTTTGACGTATTAAATCATTCATGTAATTGTATTTTATAAAATTATAAACTCATTAACGGGATATCATTTAAAGGAAAAGTATTTCTTTAGTTACCGAAAATAAAATTATCTTCAGTAAGTTCAAAACGATGTCGTTTTGAAGTTGTAAGATTAAAAAATTATAATGATAAAGACTAATATAACCATACAATATATTAAAATTACAAAAATACTTTTTTTTTATTTCGATTCCGAACGATGTCGTAGAAATCTTTTACCCTTCATTTCAATTAGACACTTAAATCTTTAAGATGTTTTCCTAGCTTTCGAAAATCCTAATCAGTTATTTCCAAAAAAAAAAAAAAAAAAATCCTAATCAGTTAATGCTGCAATCTTTTTTATTCTTTTTATTCTTGTTATTATTTATTTTCAGTTCAAGATAATTATAATTCGTATACGAATCCAAAAAGTATTTAATGACAATAATTACAAGAAAACGAATCTACATATTGGGTAAACTATTATTTTATTTAAGTATTTACAATATTTATCAATCTTCTCTCTTATTCACTCAAAATATTAAGAAATAGGAATAAAATATAAAAATATTTAATACCTCATTATTTTTCTCAAATAATATTAAATAAAAATATTTTTTCCAAAACAAGAAATACAAAGAAATTTTTAAAATAATTAAAAAACAACAAATATTTAAAAAAAACAAAAGGAAGAAATCTATATCTAACATTTTAAAAAAGGAAAGGTTATACTTACCACCAATTAAGTTTACCACTTATTATCACTAAATCTTAATAATTGATTTCCGCAAATTTGACAGTTATAATTTATTGAATGACACTTATCAATTAATTGAATGACACTTATCAATTAATTATTAATTTCTAATGAATTATAACCGTCAGATTGAGGAAACTTAACGATTAAAATTTGATGATATAAGAAGTTGTAAACTTAATTGGTGATAAGTATAATCTTCCCCTTTAAAAAATGGAGATTATATACTTATATCTATAACCTCTTTTATCTTACAACTACTTACAATCACATTTATTATCACTGGATTAAAATCAAATCTACCACTCTCATAAGTATATATAACTTCTTTTGTTGTCAACACAATATTAATGATGATATATTGATCCAACGGTTATATTTATTTCTATCTTATAGTATGATTATGATTCCTCATATTTAATACTTTATACTTTTTTCTACTCTTGTATGGTTATGATTGGAAATCATAACCACAGAAAGATATAAATAAATATAACCGTTGGATGAACATAATCGATTTGAACGGTGAAATTGATTGGTAGTAACACTAATCGGTTGTTACAATATCATATTCCTTATTTATATTATATTGATGATTATATTAATTGAGTAAACGATCATATAGAAATTTAAGAATTTAGGATGTTGTCAAAATCTAGATACTATCAAGTTTGTAAATTTAAAATTTTAAATAATGTTGGAATTCTTACTAATATTCCATGGTGAAAACCATAACAGTAAATCCCTGAATACATCATATTGGATTATCGAGGAAACTAAAGGAACTAAAGCGTATATGATTCCATCGCAATGATTGTGGTTTCTTGATGTCTTTGAATTTTGGTATTGATGGTCTTCCTCAATCAAATCACTAGATTATAAATTCTTATGTGGAAGTTCTCTTGACGGGAAAAAGAAAACTAACTGACTGATTTGACATATTGGGGACCGTAACTTTTTCCTAATTCCTTATCATTGATGTAACACCTCGTAGTACTATGATATGTTATCATTGCGTATGATATTAAGCGCAATTACAATCACAACAGTTCAATTAAAATACGGTTAAACTTTTTCCTTTTAAATGTTGCTTATTCCATTAACAATAATTACTATATTCAAATTAAACCGAAACTGTAATTGAAACTCGGACATTGCGGAATAACTAATTCTAGTTTAAAGGTATCATAATAGTCCTATTAGACACAACTATGAGGTTCTTATACACCCCATAACACTATTTTCATTTTTCAGCAAACTAGGCAGCTCGATGAGCTCCTCGATGAAGCGAGCTCCTCAGCGAGCAATTCGCTCAGTTCGCTGAAGCGAGCACTACAACGAGCACTTTAATTTCCCATGAAGTAGCTACTACTCTGGTTCTCTGTTTCATCGTAGCCTCCTTCGCTGAAGCGAGGCCAACAACAAGCTTGCTCGCTCAACATTTCGCTGAAGCAAGCATATGAGTGAGAAGTCCCCTACTTCGAATCAGCTTCTGTCTCCTTATTTAATTAGCTTGCTGGCCTTCTCGCTGAAATTAGCGCGCGAGCGAGTACATCCAGAATTTGAACTTGACCTATTGGTTCCTTGGCTCAATCCTCACATGATTGATGCACCCCTTGGGTACCTAATAAATTTGGAATGGCCTGCCGATGCCCAACAAATAAGAGGGCACTTACATCTACAACCATATCACAAGTCAACACACTTTCTTACTCCATAAGCCATCATTCTTATCTTTGCTTATTTTACATGTTATGCATCTTTAACTTAACCTTCTTGACACTATAAATTCATACATATTGCCAGTAAGGTAAGAGTAAGATATCTATGTAATAAACCATTAAACATGAAAAATATGCATCTATTCCCTTTCATTATATATACAAATCCAGGATTACATAATGTCTCAATTATACAAATTGGAACTTGACTATACAAAATGGCTATGATCAAAGTCTTTGGCTCCATCCAACAACATGCATGAAGATACCAAAGGAGAGTGATCATAGGCTAAGTCCACCAAAATATATCATGATATATCAATGAGCTATAAAATATAAATCCTATACATGTTCATCTAACATATACATAGGATATCTCAATAGATCATCATCATGCAATTTACTATGACCTCCTGCCTATAGATGTTCCAACATAATCCGTATATGAAAGGGGGTCCTCAAAACGCGGGGTAAGATAAACATCTCAGTAAAGTAAGGGTCCTCAGAGGACTTCTCCACCTAAAGTTCACTTCGGGAAACAACAATAAACAACAAAATCATGAATGTATGTATGCATGCAAAGTGTGTAAACTAACTTTCTAATATTTTCTCATAAAAAAAAAACTGTCTAATATTCCTGCTAGTGCCTTGCACCCTTCTCAGAATACAAATGGCAATGTCCTAACCACCCATCGTGGTAAACATACCTTAAATAGGACGCTTAAGATAAAATAATCCCAAGGCTAGAGAACAATGTATGAATTACGCAACCGTTCAACATACCGTATGAATTACGCAAGAACCGTCTTCCCACATACTCGTGTAAGAATCCCTCTTACACCACACAACATGCATTATATTCAATCTATAGCACAACCATATAAACCAAAACCTACACGAGCTTGGTGGAATAATCAAGGAATAAATCCCAAGGTCCGAAAGCTTACCTGTAAAAGCTCTCCACCAAACTATGCTTTTCTTTCAATCAAGTAGTCTTCACACAAGAGTTACTTGACAAGGTCCATACCACTAGTTTGTTAACAAAGTCACACCTACCACAAGGTGAATTTACAATAAAAAACTCAATCAAGATGAAATCGATGAACATGTTTATATTCATTAATCATACTAGGCAATTCACAACCATTCCACGACATCATGGACTTACCTAGGCTTGAAATCACTCAAGTGCCCATTTGTTTCCAACCTAGAAACATACATGACATATTCAATACAAGTCTCTAACTAGCCTTGTTTGAGACACAAGCAATCCCAATACATACAGGCATGCATTTTTCAAATTTAAAGGTGATGACTCAAATGGTTTATCAAACACTTTTTCACTGGTTAAATGACTTTAAAATCACTTTCTCCAACTTGCATCAAGTTCAATTCATGCATCGTTTCACAATCTCTTTGGTTTTTCTTAAACAAGACGTCATTTCCAACATGTTTTACCAAAGAATTCATATAAAATTCATCATCTAACTACATATAGCATGGACTTTTGATTTGCTATTCATTGGAACCCTAATATGCATAAAATCCATAACTTTATACAAGTCAAGGAATCTTACCATAATCAACTAAGGAATGAAGGAAAGGAGTTTTCCAAGCCTCCACTAGCTCCTACAAGCCCAAATTCAAAAATTCCTCAAGTTGATGTGAGTGAAGATCTCACAATAAATTATTTGGGTTTTCTTAATGATGAGGGAATTCTACACAACTTTGTAGCTTATACCATTTACTCTCATGAACTCTAAGGAAAATTCCTTCTCACCAGCCCTCCTCCCTACTTTTAATGGGGTGTTTCTTTGATGATTGGGCGTAAATGAGGGAAGGTTGAGAGAAAGAGTTTGACTTATTCATTTTTCTGCTTTTTTGTGTTTGCTTGCTGAGCTCATCGCTTCAGCGAGCTACACCAACGAGCAATTATAATGCTCGTTGAACAGCTCAATTCAGCAAGCTCCACAGCGAGAAGTGGCTGACAATGGCTTTTTACTTAAAAGCCCAATTCCTCACTTACTCTCACTTAACTATTTTAAAAGTGTGCTTTCCTTATAAACAACTCTTCACATTTATTTTACTAAATATTCCACTTAATTCATCTACAATGTGCATGATTAACATTTGATCTAATTGGATTAAGCCTCTCACTTAATTAATCTTCATTATGCATGAATAAATAATTAATCCAATCTAATTAGACATTTTACAAATTAAGGTTATTATAATTGAGCCCACCGGGCTTCCATTATATCATGTTAGGTAAGTATGGGTATCTACTCATTTAACTCATACTCGTTGTGAAATCTAATTGGGTTTCCTTAATAGATCACTTAATTTTTCCAATAATTAAATAACATGATATAATTGATAATTAAATATGTAGCTCACAATAATATGAAAAATAATTTTTTTTAACAAATATCACTTAAGAATCCTGATGGTTAATGTTGAAGAACTAAGACCATTGCAAAGGAACCAAACAAGAACCAGTGAATATCCCTTTAGAAAAATGAGATATGTACGTTGAAATTGCATAGATATTAGAAATATATATGCTTAAAATATTTTTTTAAACACTTTTTTATTAATAAGTAAATATCATATTGTTCTGGCCGACCAAAATGGCTTAGTGTAACACCCCGTTCTAGAACCGGTTTGTTAACATCGCATTATGATATTAAGCGCAGTTACAATCACATGGGTTCAATTAAAATCCGGATAAATTTTTCATTTTAAAACGTACCGAGTTTATAATACCCAATTCCGTGATCATAACCGTATTACCTTGCGGAATCATATCAATTAAGCTTAACATCATGTTTTTATTCCATTTTTAAATCATTAATTTACTCCTTATTTAGTTCACATCTTCTACTATATTGTAGGTTTCTTCATTAGCTACCCGTGGCTTCAAACCGTGCTCAAATCGGAGCACTGTAGTCCAAGTTAGGACAATTTGAAGCAACACAAGAGAGTGTTGGTCACAGGCCCCGCGCGCTTCAGCGCGCTACCGGGCGCTCAAGCGCGCGCTATCGGGCGCTAAAGCCTCCATCTGGGCGCTTAAGCGCACGGAGGCAGTAGGCATCAGGCATTCCAGTGTGGATGGGCGCTTAAGCGCGCAACAGGGCGCTCAGGCGCGCTATCCTGGGCGCTCAAGCTCCCACGGGGACGTTTTAGCGCGCAGAGACAGAAGCATCACCTCCTTCAGTGGCGAAGGGCGCTTAAGCGCGGACCAGGGCGCTCAAGCGCGCAACCCTGGGCGCTTAAGCCCCACCCTGGGCGCTAAAACACGAGGGGGCAGTAAGCCACCCAACTTTCTGCAGCAAAGGGCGCTTAAGCGCACGCCAGGGCGCTCCAGCGCGCAATCCTGGGCGCTCCAGCGCGCAATCCTGGGCGCTTAAGCCCCCACTTGGGCGCTCCAGCGCGAGGAGGCAGAATGCATTGGCACTCGCAGGGGCAGCAGGGCGCTTGGGCGCGCTCCTGGGCGCTTAAGCGCGCTGCCAGGGAATTCCAATTCCCACATTTCTCAAGTCCAAGCCTAGGGGAAAATGCATCCCCATTACAAACCCCAATTGTCCATGCCCCAAAACTAAATCCTAGCAATCATCCAACCTCTCCTCATGAGATTTAGCTAGAATTTGGGCAGCATGACCTTTGTTTTCTCATCGTTTACCAGTTTAAACAAAAGGGTACCTAATTGATTTTCAGCCCAACCAATTCAACAACTCAATACATAACAAGCATGCATATATTGAATTTCAAGTAGGCATCATTTACATTACATATCCTTTACAAATCATAGAACTTAGCTTACAAAACACTATGATCATTCCCTTGGCTCCCATCAACAAAAGGTGTAACCAAAGGCATGAGCATAGGCTAAGTTCATCCAATGAATCAAGATATACAAATGACCATGGGCTTTCAAAATAAAATCCTATACATGTCAACTACAAAAGGCATGTATAAACTCAAGAAATGCCATATTTCATGCATAATCCAGATATGGCCACTTGCCACCAGAGGCTCCTGCAGCATCCTTACCTGAAAGGGGGTCCCCACAACACGGGGTGAGATATACGAATATATCCAGTAAACCAGGGGTCCTTGGAGCATCTCTCCACCCCACAGTTCCATATCAGTGTAATAGCAATAACAATAATAATGCAGTAAATACATATCTATGCAAAGTGCAATACATCTCCAGGAGAAATCCCTCGAGCTCTCAAGCTGTCCTAAGGAAACTCAGATGTAAATAGTCCTACTGGCCAGCTAACTACTAAGTATGATTTACGCATCGTCATGCAACATACCAACATAGGGAAACACCATCCTATGCCACACCAAATGCATACACATACGTATAACAAAGCATTACACTATTTTATTGCATTTATATACACAATCACAACCTCTACCCTTTCAGGGCTTGGTAGAACAGTCAAGGGAATTACACCCAAGATCCGAAGGCTTACCTCAATGCTTCAGTCGACCTTTGTTCTTCACCAACAGTTTCAGCAACCAACTTTTACAAACATACACCAATTCCAATGAGCTATTCAAGCTCCATAGCTTGCTCCAATGGTTGATCACTCACGGTTGGTCCAAATGTCTCAATCCTAGACATCAGAAGGATCCAATCAATCATTCAACTCACTAATTGTTCAACATGCTAGAATACTAACCAATCCAAGCATGAATTTTCCAATATTATGAACAATTATCAAATGACTATCTAGGCTCATTTCCACCGATTAAATGACCTTCCTAGCATTTTCCATAACATGCTCTAAGCTCCATTCTTCCTAGAACATAGCTAATTCAACTACATTTCATAAAAATCCCAATTTACTATTCACAAACCCTAACTCATGCAAATTTCAAGGAATCATGAGGTTCAAGGGTTAGAATCTTACCACCAATGGTCACACAACCAAGGATTGATGGCTCCTCAAGCTTCAATGGAGGTAGAAACTCTCAAAACCCCAATTTTCACCAAAGGGCCGAATTTTTGAGAGGTAATATCTCTCTCCACAATGCTCCCCACTCAAAACAAAGCTAGGATTATGAAAGAGGGGAAGAATCTAAGTGGTTTAAGCTTTTGAACGGATGAATTTGGTTGAGATTTGCTCTCTCTCCCTTTTCTCTTCCTTCCTTCTCCTTCTTCTTCTTTCTCCTTCTTTCTCCTTCTCTGGTTGCTCGACGAAATGGGGGTGGGAAATGGGGCTCATTTGGCTTTTAGTCACTTAACATAGGTTAAGTGACTTTAAGCGGGTATTGGTTCGTCTATCTATTCAACTCCAATAATTACCAAACTTTACCCAAAAGTCTGGAATATTATTCTAGGAATATTACTATTTTTATTTTTATATTTTGGGCACTTTCACCAGTACCCATTTATACCCCTTAATTTTCACTGAGTACACTTTTTAACTCCAAAGTGACTCAGATTCATTTAATTAAGCCTTATACTTAATTTCACTCACTAAAACATGTTTAATTAATTAATTACACTTGATTTACTAATTAATTAAGATGGGCTATTATACTTAGCCTAAACCTAGGTCCAATGACCCAGCCCACACAAGACACATCACAAGTCACCTCTTCCCCTAGGGAAGTAGGGACCTTTTCCCCAATCTCTGGAACATGTGACCATGGCTGCACCTTCTACAATTGCAAATGCAAGTGACGACGGATGAAACCATCTCATCTAGCCTCAAATCCCCTCACCGCATTAAATGCAAACCTCACTACATTAAATGCCAACTCTACATATAAATACACCTTCTCCTTCATAGAAGTGGGTATTGTTCGATAAATTCATGAGCTATTACTCTATTCAATTGGAGAACCCGCTACCATAAACACGATACCCCCCTCCCATTCTTATTGTCTCATAGTGTTAGGAAAGCTTCTCAAGGGCCTTAGTTCATACCATTGTAATAAGAGCCTACTTATTGTAAGATATACCCGATTTTTCTACCACCAAAAAACTCACATATATATTTTACTAAATTATCTGAAATTATATTTTATTTAGTAAAGTTCATATAAAATATATTGACTCGTAATATATTAAAACAATATGTTCAATAATATATTAATAGGGTTAAAAGTTTCTAAAGTTACTTCAGATAATTTTATCCATTGTTCACCAAAATACCCATAAAAAAGTATGTAAGGGCAACATGGTCCCATGTGAAGATAAGAAAGAAAATAAGGGTCTCAAAACCTTTTTTTGTGTGTATTTTGGTGAACATTGGATAGAGTTATCTAAAGTAACTTTAAAAATTTTAAACCCATATTAATAACATTTACATATCTATTAGGGGTATTCACGGTCTGGATTGGATCGATTTTATAAGAAAAAATTATCTAATCCTATCCCTTCGGTTTGATCATGTAACTATCCATTCGTTTTGGATTTTTTTTCAAATCATATCCAATCCCATCCTATTTTTTTGGTTTGTATTGGATCAGTTTTCAGTTTTTTTAAAAGCCTAATTTTTTTTTTTGATGATTGTTATGCAAATAACATATCTTTTGTATGTATTGGCTTTGTAAAGTTTTTTTTTTCAAATACAGAAGCTTCAGTAAATGATAATCTAATTTTTTTTTGCCAATGAGATATAAAGCGCTATACAGACGAAATTTTGCTGATGGGGTGTGGCTAGATTTTTTCTTAAGTTTAAATTATGCCCAAGTAGGTAGAGGGGAATTAATATTTTGGATCGGTTTTCACCAACCAAATCGAAAACCGATCCAATCCAATAAAAATTTGCAATTTTTTTTTGGTTTTCTATTTTTTGGTTAATTCCGTTATCAGTTTTTCGGTTTGGTTACCACGGTTTGAATCAGTTTGGATCGATTGATGAATATACCTAATATCTACAATCAAAACTTTTGTAAGCATCAGTTTCACCAAACCAAGTGGCTTCCATTTCATAATTAAATTCAAAGATCCCTTCCATTTTTCCCCCCTCTAATTGTATAATGTCGTTGATTTGTTGTTGACATTAAAATGTTTATTTTTTTCTTATGAATAAAGTTATTTTTCCCAAATGTTGATCATTGTGGACACTCTACCGAGAAGAATAGAGATTCGACGAATTAAGTTCAAAATGAAAATCAAGTGATAATTGACAGATAAAAACTGTACAATTTTTCAAACTCATACTCATTCTTGGATAAGGCAGTATATAAGTAAATGGTAAGCAAGTAGCCATTCAATTATTTATGATTCTGATATGAGGGTGGTGTGAGGGTCGTTTATGTGGGAATATGACAATCACGTATGGTCTCTAATACAGATACAGAACTAGGAAATGTCCATGGCCAAAACGAACACAAACAGAGGACTAACCACGTTTGAGGAACAATTATATGTTTCCTGTTACCTTAGTTTACCCTCAAAAGTCGATGATTACAAGGCATTGTGTCCATTGATTGATCGAGTAAACCTAATAGGTATCATTAAGGACGATTATAAGACATTGCGTCCACCATTCCAATGTAGTTGTTGCTCATTGATCAATCGCAGATTGCATCTATCCCGAGATTTAAATGGTCAAGGAGGATAAAATTCTTATTCATGTTGGAGATTATTGTATGTATAAGGAGTATATCTATTATTTGACATATTTTTTTAATCCATTATGAGCGAATTTTATATTAAACTTACTATATAAAAAATAAATTCAGATTATTCAATGAATTATTTTTAATACATTATGAGCAAATTTTTTTTAATACATTTTAGGGAATATGAATCATAGATTTGAGGAGCGGTTGAGATCATAGAACATAGGAGCCAGTACTCATCACTACAAAAGGGGAAGACCTTTGCAGAGATCGTCTTCTTCATACGGAATCCCGTTTTAGTTTTCTTCTGTAATTCTCTTGTTTTTATCATGCTCCTTATGAGCCAAGTTTCTAAGTAGGTTAAGGGTGAGGTAGGAGTAGCCCTCTTTGTCTTACGATGAACTTGTAATGGAACTACGTTTTCTTTAATGAATTATGAGCTGTTTCTTGGTTTAATGCTCTGATTTTGTGACACCCTTTGGTTTGCAACCTCATCCCAGGACCATTTGGTCGATGAAACCCTCGCAAAACAATGTGGAGCAAGATTAGAAATCTTAGAGTATTTTGCTCTAAGTCAGGGGAATACCTAGAAGGAGAAGCACTGTTACGTGTACATCACTTTTGCTAGTGATCTCTTCAGCCATGCTCTTCTGAGAAGGTAAACATAATCTCCTTGAGTTTTCAATACGAGGATTTCTTAGTGTAATTTGGTGTTAAAGGCCTTTGCTCCATATTACTTAGGATTTAATCCAAGTCGCTAAAGGTGATATGAGCATAATTCATTTTTGAATTCATACTACGTTGTAGAAACAACCAAAGCGACAAAAATACTGATCCCAAGACCTACTATTTCTTTTATTTGAGTTTATTCCTCTTAAAACAGTGCATCACTTATTAGTTGAGTTGTACAACCTTAGAATGGTTCTTGATAGTTTTAGTTACGGTACTTGGTTTCTTCAATTCTTGATGGTTTTGTTACTTTCAAGTTCTTTGTTAATCAATTCTCGCTTAACTTTGATCTCTATTGACTCATCTTACTCCGAGTTTAGTGAAGTGAAGAGGACACCCAGTGCTAGCCTATTCAGATTTGTTAACTCTGTTTAACTAGTTGATAGATAATGCTCCTTGGTGAAATCTGATTAAGAACGATTGCTCTTTATTTTACTCTTTCTTGAATTCTCTTTTTCACTTCTTTTAACGTCAATTTTTTCAATTGTTTCCTAAGGACGATAATCTGGGCTTACATGAAGCCTTATATTACTTGATGCGTACGCTTGCGCAGATTGAATAGATTTGCTCTACAATTGATTAATTACTTCTTGGAGAAAATAGTAGCTCTGAACCACTTTTGCTCCCACATTTTCTTGAGCACCAACAGTATACATAAAAAATCTAATTAGTCCGAATTGAGCACTCTTTAGTGCTCCAAGTCACTTTCTTCTTACAGTTTCCATGCCACCAACTGCCTTTCGTTTGATGCTTGTTCTGTTATTCTTCATATATACCAAAAAAAAAAATGATAGCTTAGCTAATCAGCCCTTTTTTGGGCTTGAAGGTTACACCGGTCCATTACTGAATAATAAGGAGAGTTACTAATTATCGATCTTTGAAAATACGTGCTGCTAAAGTACCAAGGCCTTCTATATATTATTATTTATAATTATTATTGGTGAGGGACAATGTAGATATAGCTTGCCAAATTTAGTACAATTAGGTCTTGATGGGAGCCACTCATTTTGGAATTGCCTGATAGGAATTCATGCATATATACAATTAAAATTTAAAATAAATAAAGCATGTCAAATTTAACTTGGTTTGACTTTTGATTGTTTAGGACATCTTTAATTTAGTTACTTTCTACTTTTGACTTTTTATGAGATTAATTTTAGTGCTATGCTACTTTTAAGTAGAATTTCCGAATCCTTTTAAAAGGCATTATATTTTGCCAAAATAGCAAAAAAAAATTCAAATTTAGGTTAATTCAATATATTCAACAATAAAAGATAGAAGAAGAAACACTAACATGTTTTTAATAAATTGATATAGAGTATAATTTGGACTAGTATATTTTTTTTCCTTAGTTGCAGCTCTTTAATGCTTGGAATATTGATCACCGTGTCTTGTTTATTATACCTACAACTCATGCTTTGACAAAAATATCAAGCATGGCTATTATAGCCTAGTGTCCCGGAATGTATTGAATCCCAATCTCAATCTCTTAAAAGAGACCCTCTCCCCCTTTTTGCATTTCTCTGTTTCAGAGATTGTTCTTTGATATCACTACCCTCTCCACTCAGCGTTTTCTGTCCCCCTGTGTTTGTGTTTGTGTTGCTGCAGACACAACACAAGCACAGGAGTGGAAAATTTCAATTCTTCTCATTGCCCAATTCATCATACATAATGGCGACGGGACGAGACAATGGAACCATCTCAATTTCTTTTGATTCCGCGCAGCTGTTTCGAGTTTGTGTCAAAAATGATAGAAATGTGGGCTCTTTAGGCGTTTTTTATGGGGATAATCCATTCCATTTTGTGCTTCCTGCAACGTTGGCCCAAATTTTCCTTGTCGTCGTAACCTCTCGAACGCTTTATTTTCTTCTGAGGCCTATAAAAACACCCAAATTCATCTGCAACGTCATAGTAAGTTTCAACAAAATCTCCAGAGTTCATGTTTTCCTATTCTTTATTCTATTTTTGTTTGTAATTTACGCGGAAGAAATCTTGTGCAGCAACTAATTATGACGGGCTCATAATTTCTCAAACTGTTTGAGATAATTTTATCTCCGACTATTAAATCATAATCGTACAAAGATGGATAAACGGTGATAAAAGTAGAGAGAGAAAAAGAGGATCATAACCATTCAAAAGGTGAATCAATTAATATAAAAAAATAAATAAATAAAACGACGTAGTTTTAGGATAGGCGAAGATAAACTTATCTCAAGCTGCTTGAAAAATATTTTTTCCAATTATAATTAGGGGTGGTTATATTTATTATTATTATTTTCTTATTATCTCTTATCACCGAATCTTAACCATTGATTTCCGTCAATCCAACGGTTATAATTTATTAGATCACATTTATCAATTAATTATTAAATTCCAATAAATTATAACCATTAGATTGACAGAAATCAACAGTTAAGATTTGGTAATTAAAAAAAAACCAGTAAGTATAACCTTTTCCGTTACAACTATATAAGACATAGTTGTAATATTAAAAAAAAAATTATCTCTCCCCATGTCAGTCAACAGCTTTATGAAAACAATTTTTAAAATTACAATTATGTCTTACAATTAAGATATGATTGTAATTAGTTGCTGCAAAAAAATCTATTCTTCTATTAAAGGTGAAGTACATTTTCCTTATTTTATTGGTGTCCTAAATTTAGAGGTATATATTTAAACAAAAAATGTGTGTTTATAGATAGTTAAATTTATGTTTAGTGAAAATGTGCAGGGTGGCATTCTTTTGGGGCCATCATTTCTGGGGCAGAACAAGAGGTACTGGGAAGCTCTGTTTCCTCCAAGACAGGCTGAGTTTTTAACCATGATGTCCGTGACAGGGTGTGCATATTTTCTGTTCTTCGTTTTGCTGAAAATGGATGTACTAATGACTATAAAAGCAGCAAAAAGTACATGGAGACTTGGAGTAATACCCTTCTTGGCTTCTTTTGTGGTTATATCAGGACTTTTAAATATGTTTTATCATCCGCGAGACTCCCCTCCTATAAATGTAAAAATGGCACGTACCGCATTAAGTGCTGTAATGTCATTCACTCCTTTCCCTGTAATTTCTGATGTTTTGATGGAACTAAACCTTATAGCCACAGAACTTGGCCAGATTGCTTTGTCCTCAGCTATGATTAACGACAACATACATTGGGTTTTTATTGCAACTTCTCGTATCTTATCGCTTGCTGATATGAGAAGTTCACTTATATGTTTGGCCATCTTGATTTTGTTCTTGCTTTTTTGCATTTTCGTTTTACGACCAACGATGAAATTGATTGCTCGGAGAACACCAGTTGGTAAACCAGTGAAGGAAATTTACATTGTAATGATACTTCTTGGTGTCCTAGTTATGGGAACTGTTAGTGACTCGTTGGGATTAACGTTTCTTCTGGGACCGCTTCTGTATGGTTTGGTTATACCGAGTGGACCCCCGTTGGGTGCAACAGTGGTTGAGAAGTGTGAAGCTATCATCTCAGAGTTTTTACTACCTTTCTTCTTTATAGCTATAGGCATGGCCACAGATTTGTCTGCTCTCAAGAATTGGGGAGCGTTTATTACTCTGCAGTGTATCTTATTTGCTGGAGACTTGGCTAAGTTGGTTGCTTGTGTTCTGGTTTCTATGACATACAACATTAAGCCCAAACATGGCGTCGTGCTTGGCTTCATGATGAGCATCAGGGGTATAACCGAACTTATAGCTTTCAGTAATATGAGAAGACTCAAGGTAACTTTCTCTTATTTCCTCTCTGTATTATTATTGTCTTGTTTCATTTTAGCATGACGTGATCATGAGTTAGGATAAAAAAGAAAAAAAAAAAGTTATTTCTTATTTAATTTATCTCAATTTTGAAAAACAATTTTAAATCATGTATATAGTTACAAGGGATAAGATATTCTACTTAACGTTCTCACGCCAACTCTATCTACTCATCTCTAACAATATTAGATCACAATTTCAATAGGAGAGAAATGATGAAAGTTAGTTAAAATTCTGATCGAATGATATTGGAAACGAGTACTACAATAAATCAAATCTAATTTATTTTATTACCTTTTGCAGTTGTTGGATAAGGAAACTTTCAGTCAATTGGTGTTGTGTGTGGTGGTTACGTCCGCAATTGCTACACCGTTGGTTACGTTATTATATAGGCATCGCCCCAGGCTACTACACGGATCAACCATTTATGACGAGCGGATAAGAACGATCCAAAGCACTCCAAGAAATTCAGAGTTTCGCATTCTTGTGTGTGTACACAACGAAGGAAGCGTGCGTGGCATCACGGCCTTGTTGGAAGCATGCAACCCATTACCAGAAAGCCCCTTATGTGTCTACGCGATACACCTCATTGAGCTCTTGGGTAAAAGTGCACCTATTCTCCTTCCTATAAATTACAAGGAAAACAAAAAATCCTTGTCTGTGAATTACCCCAACACCAACCACATCATGCGTGCCTTCGAGAACTACTCCAAAAACTCGAGTGGTCCCGTAACCGTTCTTCCGTACGTCAACGTGGCACCTTACAAGAGCATGCATGATGCCATATGCAACCTCACACAAGACAAGATGGTACCTTTCTTTATCATCCCCTTTCACGAAAATGACAACATTGACAATAGTGGTCACGTGGCAAGCTCAATTCGCAAACTGAACAATAACTTTCAAGCACGCGCGCCATGCACGTTGGGGATACTCGTGGACAGATACTCGCGGCTAGGTTCTAAACATAACGCCATGCAGTTTTTCCATGTTGGCATTTTCTTTATGGGTGGACCCGATGATAGAGAAGCATTGGCATTGGGTATTAGAATGTCGGAGCGAGAAAACACGAGAGTGTCCTTGTTCCGGTTTATCGTTATGAACAAGAAACTAGTTGGGAGTAAAAATGATCAACCAATGACAAGAGAAGAACAAAAAGAGGAAGAATATGAAAGCGTGTTGGACGAGAGTTTAATTGATGAGTTCAAAGGAAGGAAACTTGCAAGGGAGAACGTTTCTTGGTATGAGATTATGGTGGATGATGGAGTTGAGATATTGGACGTAATTCGTGGTTTAGAAGGAAACTACGACCTTGTGATGGTTGGGAGGACCCATCAAATAGAATCAATGATTGACGAGGAAATGGCAAATTTCATAGAGAACACTCAGATTTTGGGAATATTTGGGGATATGTTGTCGTCAACGGAGTTTTGTATTGGGATGGTTCCGGTTTTGGTGACACAATGTGCTGGGAAGAGGGTAAGTATGCTTGATAGAGTAGGTTCGGTTAATGACTCTTCATAAAAAGTTTTCAGGTTGAAAAATATTAAATGCACAAACCTAGTGTATTTAAATTAGGTGTACTTGGACAATTAGATTATTAATTTTGAAAGTAATTGTTTGTTAATTAATAATGTTATTGACCTGTAGTACTGTACTCAATTTAGATTCATTAAGTTTATGTAACTATTTTTTTCTTAAATTGTATGTTATTACTTCCCATGAATAGAATAAAGAAAAATTTCTTGGGAAACTATAAATACATTTCAACTATTTTTCTAAATCTAAAACATGCAAATAATTGTTATAATTACCCAAAAAAACTATTAAAATTAAAAGGAATTTACAAATATTTTGTTTTACAAAAACTACATTATGTGTACTTTGGAAAATACAGTCATTTGAGAATATACTCGTTGGAGTACATAATATAGCTTGTAAGAGTTTATAAACAAAAAATTTGTAAATATAACCTACCCCAAATTAAAATAATATAAAATGAGCTATTATAACATGAAAGCATAATATTGGTTACTCGCTAAATTTTTATACTGAGTACGATGATCTTCAAGAGATTTCCTCACCTAAGTAGGCTTAACTTAAATGGTAAGGGTGTGCGAAAAAATAATTTGAATAAAAACCGTATAGGTTTGGTCATTTATAATTAATTAAGTCAATTATTTATTTTTAATATAATTATGATACTGTGATTTGAATTTATGAACTCATATAAACTACTTAAGTCGATTATTATAAGCACATTGCTAGTAGCTTGAGAGAGGTACATACATTTAATAGCATTAGTAATAGTTCTATTTAATTTTCTTTTTAAACACATGTTTCATATTATTGTTTTTGCATTCTATCATATTTATTTTAAGATTACTCTTGAATTGGCAAGAGTATGTTGATGTTTTGTTGAAAGCGCTCCCCTCATTTACAGACTGGAATAATTTTCGATTAGGTTATATTTGGAACCACAAAAAGTTAAAAAAATGAATTGATTTGATTTAGAAACCAATTCTCATTATTACAATTCATTGTAAGCAAAAAAAAAGAACATTTGAATAAATAAAATTCTATGTCTGAGCAATTAAAAAAATTTGAACTGAATTTATGTTATTAAACTACTATATTATTCTTATTTAGAACAGGTAATTAAACGACTCAATTTTTTTTTTGGTAAGTGGTTAAATGACTTAATTAATAATAACATTGGAAAGGTTTAGATTTCAAAAAATTGGAGAAATTCGATACCGAAACTAATTAGAATTAGTTTATGAAAAATCATTAAAAAGTTAAGCCAAAAATAAAATAAATTTAACTATTTGGAAAGGTTGAGATTTCAAAAATATGGATTAGTGATTGTAAAGAAACACTTTAACATAAAACCTTAAGGTTTTGGGTGAAGACTTTTTTAATGGTTTATATTATTTTTTAGGAAATGTCCTTGTGATTTACTCCAGAATCACCTATGTCCCTGTGATTTTTTTTATCACATATGCCCTTGTGGTTTGTAAAAAATAAAAAATCACAAGGGCATATGATAAAAAAAAATACTCTTTTGCAAATCACATAGACATATGTGATAAAAAAAATCATAGGAGCATAGGTGATTCAAAAGCAAATTACAAAGGCATTGATGAACTTTTTCCTAGTTTCTAATGTAACATCCCCGTCTCGAGCCGGTTCAATTAACATACATATGATAAAACAGAAAACAGCGGAAGACTTAACTTATGAAAATACGAGCTAACTTTTTCTTTTTCTTTTTAAATTCTCTTTCGTCGTAAACGAAAATCGGGCAGAGTTTCCTCTATAACTCGGACAACTGGGGATTTTCCAATCCCACTCAGATGCATTTCCTGATAAGCAGTTTATACAAATATAATCAAATGGCCATCCATGGGCACATGCATGACTTGGCTCAGTGCCACTATATCTAACAGCATGCAATCCAACACGTAATCATAAACTGAATAATACATCATCATATAACGTGCCTGAATACCCAAATGTACATGCCTCCAAGTGACAGACATGTACAAAACATATACAGGCCATATACAAGATAAAGGATCAATATCGTGATCCATCAAATGCGGAAATACTAAAAGACATCAAACACTCCAAAAGGTAGTAGCCTACAACCACTCAAAATTTCGATCTGTCAACTGCCTCAGCCACGTGTCGTGTCCCTGCCTAGTGAGGACTCACCGGGAATCTGGGCACCTGAAAATATGTCCCCAAAGAGGGGTGAGATTACAAATCTCAGTAAGCTCCAGGTTTATAGAGAATTCTCCATACCCCTGGCTCACTCCTGCATGAAAGTCAGATACAGAGTATACAAATACAACATATAACAGATATCATAACAGAACAGAGCATATATCCATATCATATCAGAGATGCGCGCCGTCATTCCCAAGGGAGGACCCCAAGCGGAAATCAACGCACGTGTTCCCGAGGGAGGACCCCAAAGCGGAACCAGACATATCAGAGGCGTACACCATCAGTCCCGAGGGAGGACCCCAAAGCGGACATCCGGGTACTATACAATCAATGGCCATAGATTGTTACAGAAATCATATTACAGAAGTCATATCAGAGCAAAACATATCATGTTATCAAATAACTCTATATGAATGCATCTATACAAAGCATCTAAATCACAGTCATACAGTCCAACCATAGTTCACTAACCATGGTGGAGCACTCAAGCAGGAAAAGACTCCTTAAACATAGAGCTTACCTCTTGAAGCTTTACCAATACGCTTACTTGTGGAACAAGTTACTTTTATCGCTTCAAGAGATTTCCGATCCTTTTTAATCCCTAGGCACACCTAGAGAATAATTCACAATGCATCAATAAAATGATACTATGCCATGATTATTTCATAAGCATACATTTTATCGCTTATTTTCCTTTCTTTATACTTTTGCCAATGTTATGCCAATACACAAGTCTAGACCACCTTATACTAGTTAGCATTCTTTAATTTTAATCAAGTATTCACTTGAGAATTTTTAATATCATTCATGCCATTTTACTTCAAACGTCGCGGACATACCCTTAGGAAATCAAAGTATTTTTCAATCATTTTTCGAGTCATTTCACTTCTTAACTCATCAATTTTATACAATGAATTACAACACATTTTATTTACAATAAAATGTAGCAAAATATACTCCTATACCACCCTCTAGGTCGAACACTACAAGGACATAGACAAAGGTTCTTTTTCTTCACTTACACGTAACTTACACATACAAATACATGTTTTCATAAGGTTCCAACTTAATTTTTGGAGCATAAAGTCCCTCCAAAGCCCCACAAGGCCTAAACCTAAGGGCATATTTCATATAATTTTCCCACTTTGGCATTCTCACTAATTTATCAAATTTCCACTTAATTCCTACACATTAAACCTTCCTAATACTTAAGATAAAATTTTTGCACAACAGCCTATTCTTCACCTATGATGGTCGAACATGTAGAGGAAATCATAGGATTTTTTTCTAATTTTTTTACATACATACAAATGCTTATTTTCATTTCTTACATCCAAGACATCAAAGATTCATCATTAAATCAAAGTTTAATACACAATGCTTTCCTACCAAAACATACTCATAACTTTTATAACTCAAATCATCAAAATAATACCATGGAAATAGAGGTTCATTACCTCCAAAAGCTTATACAAGGTCTAGAAGGTGACCAACAAGCAAGACTCCACCAAAAACCCCCTTTTTCACCTTGGATGAATAGTAATCCGAAAATGGAGTGATGAATATCTCCCTCCACAAACGAAATCAGCTCAAATGGAGGGGTGGAATAGCTTCCTTGGATGATTTCCTATGAGATTGGTATATTGGGTGCAAGATTTGGTGGCTTAACCATGGAGAAATCAAAGAAGGAAGAAGACAACCCCAAACCCTTCCCCCATGGCTGCAGCTCGGTTTTGAGAGTGAAGAGAGGAGAGAGAAACTGATTTGGAAATGAGGCTTAAGTGACTTAAGAAGGTGAGCACATGTGGCCTTTTACCCGGGTATTTTTCTTTCGCGTATTTTCACTTAAACTAACCCGGAACTAACTCAAAGCTACAAATATATTTTTATTTTTCTAAAATCATTTACATAAATTTTTATCTGTTACAAAACAATATTCATAATTCACAGTATGGTTTCTGCACCGTTTTTGACGAAATGCACTGTGAATCACTAACTGTACTTTATTTACTTTTGAAACTTAACACTTATAAACTTATCATTTTCTTGGGCCTATATTGACTTGCTTGGCATATATTGGACTTTCTTATTCTTATTTCATCAATTATTTATTTCTAGACTCTACCGGTTGCTTAAACAGCAGTACAAAATACCCGGTAGAAACACTATTCACGAGATTTTCACGGAAAGTGCCAGACTATACAATTTTTCGTTTTGAACTCATATTTGTCATCAGAATTTTCAAATTATGTTCCTAAAATTATTTTGCTCATTTTAAGCTCTACCGGTTAATTCACAAAACTGTAAATTCTCCGACAGAACGCACTGTTCATAACATAGTCATGATTACAGTCAAAATACTCGAAATCGCTCACTGAATCTAATTATGGCATTTAAATCCTTAATTTAAATCTCTAACTAAGATTTACCAATTAGGGTCATTATATCTAACACACCCCCTCATGCAAGAGCCCTTTAGGTTTGAAGTGTGAATATTGCGTAGGCCCAATTGTTTTTTGTTAATCTACCTTATGCTTATTTAATTCCACAAGTGGGGGGTGATGATCGAACTAATTATCTTGTGATCAGTGATCACTGAAGCTCTGATATCATTTAAAGAACTATTTCAATCTAATTTTGGGTTAAGACTTTTTTAATGGTTTAGCTAGCTACACTAGGAATTGTTTACAAGAAGGGGAAAAAATTACTTAAAGTTGAGCAAATTTGAGCATTAGCATAGAAGAATGACCGGAATAAATAATGTAAACCGACAATTACAAAATTAACTCAATTTAGGATAAAATTAGAACTATAGGTGGCCTTCTATGATGACGAGCGGCAAGTAGTAAGGACGAAAATTTTCTTAAATTCGCATAAAAAAATATTCTTTAAATATTTTGTAAGTACTACGATATTTTTCTCTTTATCTTTGATCAGAAATGATAATTTATTTCAAAAATAGCATCGACTACCCTGTCCTCTTTCTTTCCTTGCCAAAAATTAATAGAAACTCCAACTCATGGTTTGACAAAAATTAAAATTGCTATAATTAAAACTCCAACCCATACTTGATCAAAATTTTCAAGCCAGAATGTAAATATAAGTGTCTTATATGCCAACTTAGAGCCTATGAAAAATGCATATATATACTTTTGTCCTCTCCACTCCGTCTGTTCTCTCTCTCACCTGTGTTTGTGTTTGCTACATGCACAAACACAGGAGAGAAACATTTTGTTTTTCTTCTTGTCAACGAATTGGTACGTTGGGTACAAGCAAATTATATACATAATGGAGAAGGAAAGCCCCTTCTATGCCCGTAATGACTCTAGTGGTGCTTTCCAAGTCTGTGTCAAGATTGAGAGAACTGTGGGTTCTTTTGGTGTGTGGGCTGGGGATAATCCATTCCAATTTATGGTTCCTGTCACATTGTGCCAAATCATTGTAACCGTATTAGTCTCTCAAGTCATTTACTATCTCCTCAGGCCTATAAAAACCCCCAAATTCATCTGCTACGTCATGGTGAGTTTCACCAAATTTAAGAGTTTTAATTTGTTCTCCTCTATTCTATATATTTTTTCCATCTCTAATTAAACTCAAACCTAATTTGAGAGCTTTGGATATACAAAGAACAAATTCAACCCAAAATCGAAAGTAATTAGGTGAAGGGTAGATTAATAATTTTATTTTATATTTTTCTAACAAGTTCGCTTATATAAAAGCCTATTGGTCTTGAAGTATAGACACTAGACAATACACAAGCATGTCCCGCCAATTTATGCTAAGAAACTTTATAATATTTAATTACTTATCCATAAAATAGGGATAGTGATGATCGGATCGAATTTATGAGGCAAAGGGTCTGTTTGAAATCTATTTTTAAAAATAGGTTTTTAATTTTCAGAAGAAAAAAAAACTGGTTTGTTAAGATTTGTTTTGTAAAAATTGTTCTAAAAATTATAACTATTTTTAGTTTTTAGAATTAAATTTAGAGAACATGTATAAGTTGTTTTTATTTTGTATTTTGACTTTTAACTTATAAAACTAAAAAAAACACAGAAAACACATGTTTTCATATTTATTATACAAAATAGTTTTAAGAACAAAAAAAATCAGAATACAATGAAACAGTCCCAAAGACTCTTAAAATAATCAATTCAATCCAAAAGTTTAAACTTAAACTCATATTAATAATTTTATATTACATATATTTTTCTATTTTTTTTATAAAAAAAACTGTTATTTTTTAAAATATTAGTTTTTTTTTTTGCTTTATGTGTGTTTTTGAGTTGTTGATTGGATTGCATACAAAATATTTTATTTATTTTTTACATGCCCATGATGCAAATTGTTGATGTTTATGCATGCATGGTTGTGTTCATGGATGAAATTAACAAGTGCTGAAAATGACAGGGTGGCACTCTCCTGGGACCGACAGGTTTAGGGCGCATCAGAAACGGTGCTTTAATGGATATTCTGTTTCCGCTAAAACAAGCCTCGTTTTTAGTCTCAATGTCCAAAATAGGCGCTATATATTTTGTCTTCATCATTACACTGAGAATGGATCTAAAAATGAACTTAAAAGCAGCCAAACGTTGTTGGCGATTTGGTGTAATTCCCTTCTTCTGTTCTTATTTCGTTACAGTATTCCTCTTGAGTCTGTATAAGCCCAAGGGTCATAGCTCTGGCGATGATGCGTATTACATCCCCAACGTCTTCACTATAAGTAGTTTCGCTGTCGTTTGTTCAGCATTGACAGAACTCAACCTTTTAACTACGGAACTGGGGCAGATTGCTTTATCTTCAGCCATGGTCAACGAAATAATGCAATGGACAATGATAGGACTCGAGTTAAGCCCACCGAAGAATTTAATATATTCATTTGTATATTTGAGTCTTTGCGGCTTATTTGTTTTGATATGTGTTTTCATTGTGAGACCAGTGATGAAGATTATTGTTGAGAGAACACCAATGGGGAAACCAATCAAAGAAATTTACGTTATCATGATACTTCTTGGTGTCCCTATTATGTCGGCTCTTAGTGACATGATTGGCTTGCATTTCATTATAGGACCTACCCTTTATGGTTTGGTTATGCCGAATGGACCCCCTTTGGCATCAACAATTCTAGAGAGAAGTGAAGTTATCATCTCAGAATTTCTTATGCCTTTCTTCTACTTATATATTGGCTTAAACACAGATTTATCTGAGATTCATAAGCATAAGCATTGGAAGGTGGCTCTAATATTTCAAGGTATCTTGTTTGTGGGATTCTTGGTAAAGGTGCTTGCATGTGTGCTGCTTGCTCCAACATCTAATATTAGGCTCAAACATGGCTTGGTGCTTGGGCTCATGTTGAGCGTCAGGGGCATAGTCGAACTTATGTTTTTTGCTAGAATCAAGAAGTTCGGGGTAATTATAATATTCTCTTTTTCTCTCCCTTCTTATCTATATATGCACATAATGATTGACCAAAGTGATATATTTTTTAAAAAAAATTATTTTATCAAAATAATATAGTTTTACTACTTTTGATCATATAGATGTGTCATTACCCATGGCACGTGTTATTTTTGTGAGACTTTTAAACTATATTATTTTGATAATTTTTTATTTTTTTTAAAGTTATATCACTCTAATGAATCATTATAGGGATATGGGCGCTCTCAACCTAGATAGTGCAATAAATCTAATTAATGTTATCATGCATATTCCTTTTTGCAGATTATTGATACAGAGGTATTCAGTCAAATGGTGCTCTATGTCGTGTTTATTACCATGATTTGTATAGCCTTGATCGACTCCTTGTATAAGCATCATCCTCGTATGTTGAAAACAAAAAGCATACATGAAGTGCGGGTGAGAATGATCCAAAACTCCCCTGAAACCTCAGAGTTTAATATTGTTTCTTGTGTACACAATGATGGAAATGTGCATAGCATGATTGCACTGCTTGAGGCATGCAACCCAACACTAACAAGCCCCATAAATGTCTACGTGATTCTACTCATTGAGCTCTTGGGAAAAAGTACACCTATTCTTCTTCCTATGAAAAAGAGGAACAGAAAATCCTTCTCTGCCAATTACCCTAACACCAATCACATTTTGCGTGCCTTTGAGAACTATTCCAACAACTCCAATGGTCCAGTCACCATTATTCCATATGTTAATGTGGCTCCTTACAATATCATGCATGATGCTACTTGTGACCTCGCTGAAGATAAGTCAGTGCGTTTGCTTATTATCCCATTTCACGAAAATGATGAAACTCTCGGTAGCCACATTGTTACCTCAATTCGTGACCTCAACACTAGCTTTCAAGCTCGTGCAAGGTGCACTGTGGGGATACTCGTGGATAGAGATTCGAGACTAAGTATGAGTAGTTCCAAGTTGTGTTTTCATCTGGGTATCTTCTTCATGGGTGGACAAGACGACAGAGAAGCATTGGCATTGGCAATTCGAATGTTGGAGCGACCGAATATGAGAGTCACCTTATTGAGATTTGTCTTAAATAATAACAACAAAAATTCAGGTGGGGCTGTTAAGTTTAAAGGAAATGAACAAGAGGAAAAGTTAGAGAGCAACATGGACGAGAGTTTAATAGATGAATTCAAGGCCAAGAAAATTAATAACGATAATGTTTTTTGCCAAGAGGATGTGGTGGGAGATTGCATACAGGTTTTCAACGCTATTCGGGGTTCGGAGAACGACTATGACCTTGTGCTGGTGGGCAAGCGACATAACATTGGGGATGTGACAGATGAAGAAATGTCAACTTTCATGGACAATGCGGTTCAGTTGGGAATTTTTGGAGATTTTTTGGCGTCCACCGAGTTTTGTGATGGGAAAGTTCCTGTATTGGTGATGCAATGCCCACCTTATATATATTTAGACTTCTAGGATTGTTTGTATTTTTTGTTTTTTAACCTTTAGTTATTGATTGTTGGGTAATATATTTCTCATGTTGCGTGAGACAATTTTGTCTTATCCACGTAAAAAATAGATAGATTCACTGAGAAATCGAGAAAGAATGAAAAAAAAATGGATTCCTTTTTTTTTTTTATGTGTGCATGATGGTTGTACACTTATTCCTCTTTGGAGAGAAAAAATCTCATGCACTTGATGATCTTGTATATTATCGAATATTATTGTACATATTTATATAGAATTTCAGAGAATGGGCTTAGAATTTGTGAAAAACATAGGGCCGGGGTGGCCATTTCCAGGATTTATGACTCGGGCCCAGCAACTCGTTCGTAAGATAATTAGGCCTAAAACCCATGCGGCCAACCCCACGATCACTTGACCAGCGCCCTTTACACTTGTGTGTGTGATATATATATATATATATATATATATATATATATATATATGAGGCAGTATCCTTTGACACCGGTGTCAAATTTGAAGTTTCACACCTCATCTGAGAGCCGTTCGAACAAAAAAGATCAACGACTCTGATTTGTAAGCATATGACACCATTGATCTTTTAGGATCTAACGGCTCTCAGATGAGGTGTCAAACTTCAAAATTGATACCGATGTCAAAGGATCTTACCTCTATATATATATATATATATATGAGTTTGATGTTTTTCATTTTAAATGACATAAGTTATGTCATATTAGAAGAGAAATAAACACAAAGAATGGAAATCATGGGAGAAAGTAAGTGTTTTTTTTAAAATTTAGATTTTAAATAAAAATATTATTGTGTCTATCTCTCTCTTAAAATAACATAACTTTATATCATTTAAAATGACAAACATTTTTTCATATATATATATATATATGTATATATATATATATATATATATATATAGTAAAATTATTTCTCAAGCCGCTTTACGTACAACAACGGCAAGTGTATGATTATGATTCTCCACATTTAATGCTTTCATCTTTTGTATGGTTATGATTCTCCGCATTTAATGATTTCTCATATATATATATATATATATATATATATATATATATATATATATATAGGGATAGGATCAACTTACACCGGTGTAAGATGATCCTGCCCCATATATATATATATATATATATATATATATATATATATCTAGTTTTTTATTGATGCACGTATAGCGGCTAGAGAAATGTAAACCCCTATATATATATATAGTATCTTTCGCACATTTTTATCATTTTCTTCCTAATTAAAATAAAAAAATATTATTATGTTCCCATTTTTAAACTATTTAAAAAGTATGATTTTTTTTAACATAACACTAATCTATCTCTCTTTGTGTTGACTGACGCTAATACTCGAGTACGTAACTAATATACTCGAGTAAATCATGTGTCATGAGTTTCTACGCGAGCAGAGGTCCAAATACTCGAGTATTACACCATATACTTGAGTATCAGGGTTCTGTACTCGAGTATGTTGATTAATTTTTACCATAAAATTTCCCAAATTTTGTAATGCAAATAGGTCTTGTGATACGCACAAAGTCGTATACTAGTATAATCGATTACTTGGTCCAACCAACGGTCAAGAAGGCGTGATATGAGCCTCAGTTTACTGATATAATCGATTACTTGGTCCAATCGACGATCATGAATGTATGATATGAGCCTCAGTTCACTGATATAATCAATTACCGTATGCTGGTTAATCAATTACTTGGTCCTATCAATGGTCAGAAATATGTGATATGAGAGTTTTATAAAAAAAAAAAAAAAAAAAAATATCCCAACTCTCGCAAGTAATTTGGATTGAATACTCGAGTATTTTATGTATATCACGTGCGCAATATACTCAAGTATATAACTCAGTCAACGATTAAACAAGAGCATATTGATATTATGTTTTAGTACAAGGGCAAAACGATAGTTTTTATTTTAATTAAGGGTGAAAGGGTAAAAAAACCGTAGCTCTCGACTCTCAGCATCTGAATTACAATGCTGCATATACATGCAGCTTTATGATAATAGAATAGTTAAAGAAATATAATCTCTTTGGCCGCCTCCTATGCCATGCCTTTGTGAACTTTCCAGCCTAGTTATTTTTGTGTCCCATAATTCACATGTTGACATTCTTTTGAAGAATTTTTAATGCCTCATACAGTCATAATATGATACACTCCCCTGTATACACCACACTGAGAATTAATGTGAAAAATCTAGTATTAGTTTATAATGGCAAATGGTCAGTGGAATTTGAAGCTTAATCATTATATTTAAGTCGATATATGATGGTCAGATTAGCGGTTTCAAATACGGTACTTTTCAAATTGGATACTGTGATTTCTGACTTGTGAGAGATTGGCTTATACATTCAAAACTTGCAATTTGTTTGTAACATGAACTACAGGTAAAAATAATAATAATAATAATAACATCAATTTAAATAGTCGGGCTTGTGACTATGTCATTTTGTGTTTGATATCAATCACCATCTCTTCCTAAGTGCTAAACCCGACTTATTTCCGAACAATGAAACAGAACAAAAACAAAAAAAAACAAAAACAAAAACATAAGACTCCCCAAATGCAGGGAAACAACAATTAACTTCCAAACTATGAAAAATTACGACCCTGATTACTTGGCTGATGAATTTAGTTATTTTGATATAATCCTAACAAAGAGGAAGATCCGCTGGAGGGGCCTCTATGGATTGCAATTTCCCAACTCCGTTCTCTACCAAGAACACTGTAGCCAAACCCCACCCTATATGAACATCCAAGTGACAATGCATAATCCAAGCACCTATAATACAATACATAAGATCAAACATCAAATGATTGAGTTTTTTAATGATTACACAATGAAAAAAATAATATTTTTTTACCTGGGTTATCAGCAACGAATCGGATAACTGCCCATCCATTTACAGGTACTGCCACTGTGTTCCTCAGAGGTGGATCAACAAGGTTGAATTTTGATGTATCTTTATTGGGGTTGAAATTCCCAAACCCCTCTGCAACGATGTAGAAATCATACCCATGAAGATGAATTGGGTGGTTCTCAGGAGTGACAATGCTAGTGTCCTGCAACACAATCTGGACCCTTGATCCATACTTCAACGGGTACACTTTAGTCCCCGGAACAGGTTGCCATAGTGAACGGCTCACGTTACCGGTGTAGTCGAATTTCACCGGCGGGTTCGCCGGAAAATCAGTGGTGAAAACTCCGGGGATTCCAAGATAGTGAGCCTGCAGGATGGAAACGTTTCTTGGGAGGACAAAAGAAACGTTGTTGATGCTTGCAGTGAAACGTGTCCCATTGGGTCCTTGGCATCTTCTTTTTCTGAAATTTGGTGGGCACTTGTTGAGTCCAAGGCCCACAGTGAAGAAAAGGTTCTCATCAATTTCAGTGGGAACCTCAACTTTTTTGGGGCTTCTAAGGTTTTTACTGAAGGCAGTGACTGTGTTAGTGTCATTGTAAGCAGGGAGTGGGGGAAGAAATGGTTTAACTTTTACCCCTTTGGATTTGGAATGAGAATGTGATGATGATTTATTATTGTATTGAAGAATGGCAGTGGTGGTTGTGTTGTCAAAAGGAGCGTTTTGTGCTGATTGGTAAGCACGCGCCGCCATGTAGTAAAGGGAATGTGGCTGGTCACCGGTGATTAAGACATCAGTGGTTTGGCCAGGTCCTAGCATGAGGACTTTGGTGGTGAAGGGTTTAAGGTAAGAGGCATCAGCACCTACAACTGTTAGCTTATGGTTGGCAATGGTGAAGAAAAGTGGTTGATTGAGTGCAGCATTGATGACCCTAAGGAGTTTGGTCTCGCCGGAATCTATTGGAACAATGGTAGTGCCTGCATTAATTGCCAATTATGTCAAAGAAAAAAATAAGTTGTCATATTCATGAAATCATCATAGTAACCAACAATGTGCTAATTTTTGGTTTCTCCAATGTTTTTTTTTTTTTTTTGTGGGTTGATTATTGTTTCATAGTTGATGCCATTTCGGATGTTTGGTAGTCCAAAAGCTATTTGTCTCATAGTAGTTAAGTTTGATGAATTTACTTTTGGGCAAGGAATATTGATATTCATTGCAAAAAGGAATAAATGCATTTAAAGCTTTTGTGTTTTTTTCTTTCATTTGTCAAATATTGGATAAGGTCGTCCTTTCTTAGCCAGTATCTTTCGTGTCTGGCTGAAATTTGTTGATGAAATATCAAATGTCCGATATAAGAAATTAACAACTTATTACAAAAAAAAAATAAAAAAAATTAACAACTTTATTTATAAAATTATTTTGTTTCGTATTTTATATTAACAAGATATATGAATTTCTGTGTCCAAAAAAAAAAGAAAGATATGAGTTTCCCTAAATATATTAGATATAAGTGTTTTGCTCTATTTTACACATTTAATAGATGATTTGTTCGCTCTAAAATAAATTGTCCCCAGTTTGTTTTCACTTTCACTGTATTTTTCATTGCATTTTTTTTTTTTCCCGCTCGGACTCTCAAGCTTGTCGGTTGCATAAAATCATTTGAAACTGGGAACTCCCATTGTTATTTACATCAACCTAAAAAAAATTAACCCTTAAAGGAAAAATATGATCATTTTTTTAAAAAAGATAGGATATTCTATCTATCTTTCTTTATCACTTTTTAATATCATTAGATCAGAATCTTAATAGAAGATAAATTTATAAAAGTAATTAAGATTTTAATAAAATAATATTAGAAAGTGGTAGAGAAAGATAGACAAAAAATGAGATAGGTACAATAACTTATCCTTTAAAAAAAATGAGAAATATCTTATAGAAGTTATTATTATTTTATTTTTTTAAAAAGTAACAAGAAAAAATTACAGCATATTTATATCATGCAAACCGGCCAAAACTATCAGATTTCTTTGCTCGAATCAAATCTTATATATAGCAATGAAAGTGGCTGACAAGGGACAACCCTATTGACCGATTGTTTCCGTAATCAATTGATATCTTTAATAATTTCATGTTTTGAACCTTTTAGGAAAAACGTTTCTCTTTTATGACTAGTTCCTGTTTTTAATTATTTCAAATCTTTTGTAAAGTAAATTTATTAAACAAGACATGTGACATGTACAGTGTAATCAAAATTATGAAAGAATCAAACCTTTGCTAGAGCACTTATAAAGATCACCAGGTTGACCATTTATAGTGTATGCATCAGACACGTTTGGAGCTGCCCCAGTTCTTGTGGCCTGCCTTACAACATCGATGGGGTTCGCGTCCCACCATTCCCCTATAATCATCATCACCATAACTTTCAACGTTAAATAATTACTCGTCATCATAAACATAATCTTTGTCCAAAAATAAAAAAAGCATAATTTCTATTGTCTCTTTGCTTCAATTCCATCTATCACAATCACTTTTTTAGTTTTTAACCTGTTTCTTTTTTTGTCTTGGTCTTCCTACCTCCATGTTTTCATCAATGCTATCATTACTAATTATGCAAAAAGAATAATTATAATTAATTACCTAGAATAATAGGTGTCTCGCACTTTGGCTTAGGAAAAGGGTAGGCCTCTCCTTCCCTAGGACGAATGATTAAAGCTCCGTGAACTGTGGCTCTTAGCCATGAGCTATGAGCATGCCACCAAAGTGTGCCTTCTTGTCCTTCAACGGTGAATCGGTAAGTGTAACTCCCTCCAGGACGAATGGGACACTGAGTCACAAATTCTGGTCCATCTGCCCAACCTGTTCTCATTTGTCTAATACCATGCCTAAAAAATATAAGAAAAAATGAGCAACAAAAATAAAATTTAAAAACTCACTGAACTTTTTGCTACTAAAACCTTCGTGCATGTACGACTACCATGCAGTATGTAATATAGGACTACAATGTAAAAAAATAAAAATAAAGATCACAATCATACACAGATGAATAACGGTTATAATTTTATAATTATCTATCTCATTAATTTTTTTTTCGCTTTCTTTATATATTATTATTGTTCCACCTTTGCATAATTATTATCCCCACATCATCATATCAAGTTTTTTTAATATGATGAGAGGATTCGTATACAATAAATGAGTAAAATTAATTAAGATAAAGTATTTTCATTTTTTAAGAGAAGTCAAAATGCTAGCTTGATATTATACGTACCAGTGAACGGTCAAATTGTACCGAGCTTTGTTAACGACTTTGACGACCAAAGTGTCTCCATTATTGATCTCCAATGTTGGCCCCGGGAATTGCCCATTCACGGTGATGGTATTGTGGGTTTTGCACAGCCTCTTCACTGGAGTGGCTCGAACCTATTCCATTACAAATCGTTAGGTTATTATCCAAGACAAATTAAAAGAGCTAGAAAATTAGTCCCCAAGAAAGAATGAGAATGAGAGAACGTACAACAAACTCGTGCTCATGAATTTTGGCATTTGCTGAAGACAATGCTGAAGCTAAGAGAACAAAGATGGATAAGAAGATGGTAGTGGAGTATTTGGCATTGGTAAGAATGCTCTTGACAGGCTCCATCTTTAATTTTAGTGAGCAATGAACACCTTTGTGGTGAATGTATAGCAGGTTAAGGTTGCAATGCAAGTAAGAGTGGGAGAGGGTGCTTTTATAGGGGAGACTAGAGGAGAGAGATTAAGTTGTTTGAGGTTGGAGGATTAGGTTTTGTTTTGAGATGGGATTCCTTGAGAAACTTGGTTCAACCCTACATTAGTTGTTGCACCCACTAGTTAATAAATGCTTACTTCAGAAGTCTTCAGTTACAGTTAGAGGTTGAATTTTTGCAAAGCATAATTATTTTTATACTTCGTTAAGATAATAAGAAGGGGTTTGTTTTTCAAGTCGTATTCACGTGGCATGCAACAAGATTAATTTCCATTTTTTCATCCATTTTCTTGTAATCTATTTCTCTCTTACCAAAAGTATACAACATTCCAAAAGGACAAAAGTAAAAAAGCTAAGCACAAAGGTTTTATCTTTATTCTTTGCTTCGCAAGTCAAGCTCTCCAATAAGATTACCATTGGGCTGAAATGGTCACAAATTACCCGCATAAAACTACATATAATTTATTTAAAAAGTTCTTGTGATTTTGGTTAAGAGCGTATTTTATTAGTAGCTAAAGAGTTTAAATAAGGTAAAAGGGTGCCACTTTTGCATTAGTCCAATTTGACTATTCCCGTTTTTCGGTGATGGTGAGAAATAAAGCTCTTTATGTCCTCTAATCGTTTGATGAAAAGTTAATCCACGTCAGAAACGAGTATATATAATATATGAAGGCCTTAGAATTTTATCTCCTCTTTAATATTGGCATTAACCTAACTTAAGGTTAAGGTTGAAGGCTGCTTGTTGCTTGCTGTTGGTCAAGCTAATAGAATTTTTTTTAGGGTGCCCCTCACCCTCTTTTCTTTTCTAACTTGCAAAACTGGCTAGTTATTCAATTATATATGCGTGTACTAGGACATTTAGCTAGGTTAATAATTTTGATTGATTCTAGTGTCCACCAAAAGGAAAAAAAATAATTAAAATTGAATGTGAAAAGTAGACTACCACATGGTGTGTAGCAAATATATATAATAACACTGCTTTAACTAAAATGATTTGATTGGATCTAACAAGAATTTAGTTAGAGATACTTATGACAAGTCTTAACATGATTTAAATTAGGTGACCTATCAACCCAACATAATTTTTACGCATGGATGATCAGTAACGAATAACACGCACAAACATGTCATGCTCAAAGATTACAAACCACACATATCACTTATGACGAACATCAAGGTGATCACCATACTGCCCCATGCTAAAAGTACAATGTCAAAGCTGACAGTTTTTCAAATGTTTGACAATATGTAGGAGGGTTTGGTTTCCTAATGATCTTATAATTGTTTGATTTCCCTGTTTTATGTATTTTCGGAAGTTAAGCAATTCAAACTACTCAAATGCAAAATAGATTCACTAAGGCCAATGGTCATCTTTTGCCTATAGCTTCATTAGATTCAATTCCAAAAAGAATAAAAAAAATAAAATTTCTATCAATTCTAAAGAATGGGATTATCGCTAACTAGTTATTTAGCGAAAATGGATCTTCTCGTGTTAAATAAAACATGACATAGTCATATAAGGAAATCAAAATCATACAAAGGTAAACTAACGGTCATGATTTTGTAATTACCTATTTCAATATATTTTTATCTCTATTTCTTATTACATTTGATCTATTTTTATATAATTATGATTCTTTCATATGATCATATTTTATTTAAGACGAGAGAATCGACTCCCTTATTTACCTTATGCTCTTCGGGTTGTATTTTATACTCTTATTTTTATTACATTTCTTTATTTAAATTTATTTTTTAATAGAATATGATTTTGAATAAAAATTCAATTTTTTTTGTTAATTAATGTCCAGCTGGTAAGAGAGAGAAAAAATGCCAGAAAAAAAAATCACTTTTTTTTTTTTGGAGTTATTCAACCTAAAAAAAACCACTATTGAGGACTAACTTTATGGCAAAAGTTGTAACAGTCAAAAACTAAAAAGTTGATAATCTAATAGTTCACTATGATTTTCAACACACACAAAAAAAAAAATTAAAACAAGGAACAATATTAAAGACGCTTCCTCAACCAAAAATTATATCTAATAAGAAATTAAAAAGTCAATAATATTTCTCATATTATAGGAGATAAATTTTATCTCTTATACATATATAAAAGTGTGTGTGACCCATTTTTTCTTCTTCAGATGATCCCATATAGGTTTCACATATTTTTATATGTGTATGAGATAAAATTATCTCTTATAATATGAGAAATATTAATCTTAAGTAAAAAAATATAAAAATTCAAACGTGATACTCCTTCATGTGTTTTTTAACGAAATGGTTTTGGTGCTGTACAGCATTTTCCTTAAAGAAAAGAATGTCAATATTATTAAAAAGTCAAATATCAAGGATGACCACGTTTATGGTGCACGATCCGATGGCCAAAAATTAAGAAGTTGACAATCCAATGATCTAAAATGATTCTCACCAAAACCAAGCCAAAAGGATGGAAGAATTAATCGTTTATAATATATGTATATATATATGATATATGGTGATGTTCTTGGACCAGATACAGCATTAATATACAAATCACATGAAACAAGTATATGTGAACAGTAATCTTTTTTAATATTTTAGTAAGGTTGGGGATCTTCTATATATAGATCAATGCTTTGACCTTAGAAAGCTCCTAATTGTTAATTAAAGAGTGGGAAAGCAGTGCACGGAAAAGCTTCGACTTGTCTATTTTAGTGTCCCATGTAATTAGAATTCATACAACATATATATCGTAAATAAGAAGGAATGATGTAAGTTTCCTTTAATAGTTAGTTATCTCACCTTATTTGTATAATAAGGTCTTGTCTCAATGTTTCGTCTGAAAGTGGTATAAAGGATTGATGGCTACATTTGATAACAACAGCTAGCCAAGCCACTAGAGATTATTCTGGTTGTCAAAAAACCGTTAGACTCAGAGAACGAAAGCATGTCAAACAAAGGATGAGCATGACAGAGATTAATATAAAAAGAGATAGAGAAACCAAATTGAGATAAAGATAGGTGAACAAGAAATTAAGACAGTACATTAGACAAAGTTGGTACAGTTTGTTGCTGACTTTCTCAGATTCTTAAGAAGGAAAAAAATAGGAACTAAATCAGAAATCGTTAGAAATAATGTGAAAATTATTATAAGAAAAAAAAAATGATGCAAAAATTGACACTTGAGCAGAAAGCAATTCATTTTCACTATTTGCATTCTCAATTTTTTTTTTTCTCCTTCTTTTGTTAAGTGGGGTGCCAACTTCTTTTGTAACTTCACCGTGGATGTTTTCTCTGACTCAAAAAAATTACAAAGATTAATGACAAAATTGAAGATAAATGCTTGTGTTCCTCTGTTTCTGAAATGGGGCCTTATTAAAGATCACGCTCGCTGATATTTTTGTACAAAAGCACGTTACATTCATGAAGCCATAATGGGTTTCAGTGAGAGTCTTTACAAGATCAATAAAGCTTGTGGACCTGGAAGTGAGAGGTCGAAAGTCGCTATAATGTTGTATAAACTTTTGGTGTGCATGAACAATTTTATGGGCATCCAATGTCCCGATTGATGTTACAAGGGGCTACAAACTACCCTAATTGGTGCCATAATGGGGTAAAAAAAGCCAATACGTTTGTGGTTTACACATGTATGGATTAAAAGGCGAGCTAAATTAAGCTAAACCTCAATTTGACCTGATAAAAATTAACTTGAAATTTGATTACCCGGGTCCGTTATAATTTGAATGCTTCTCCATACCTTGTGACACTTTAGGTCTCGAACAAATTATATAGAGTACATATGCTATTAGTCAGTTAACAATATGTAAATGTGTAACAGAGCGTGCAAGAGTTTGATGGATGGTGTTTTTAGTATATTTTATAGTAAAATTAACAGTTTCCTAAGAAAAGTTAATATACATACATACATATATATATATATATATATATATATATTCCTAAACATGCACTAAATATTTAATTTTAAGCTACAAATTTTATAGTTTGCTTGATTTTATTTGCAAGCAAAGAAGCTATGTTAGTTAGCATACTTCGGGAGGTAACAAGTAGGTGAAGGGAACAATAAAGAGGAGTTAAGTTTCTAACCAAAAGAACCATTGGCATTATTGAAAACACAACATTAATTCAGGAACCACCGGCAGAGGATACACCTACTTGTTGCCCTTATTAGTTATTACTCAAGTTGGTTTCAAAATTTCCGATGCCTGCTCCACAGATTATGCTACGACACAGATCATGCAACTTCATTATGCTATGGTTCTGCTTTGAAAATTAAGCTGTTACAATCAGAGACATTATCTACAACCACTAATAAAATTAGCTAGAAATGATCCAAATGAGGTTGTTTCAACTATGAATCACAAAGTCCATATAATAGACACGGGAAAGTCCTAGGATCCTAGCACGTAAATAGTATATAAAATCTTGAAGCAGAGAAAAATATTATTGAAATTAGAACCTAAAGCAAATAAAGTGGAAAATCATGCTTGTCAGTGATTTCGTCGTTAAAGAACATCATCACAAAATAAGGGTGAGGTATGTCAATCTAGGAATGCTCGTAGTGGCAATGGTAGAGAGTAGAGACTAAAGCACTATTGAGGCTTCCCCATGATACAAGGCAGGTATACTGCAAAAGGGGAGTGTGTGTATGGCTAGAATGACTCTGCATAGAGACAAAGTGACATAATAAAAGTTGGGTGGAGAAGATGATCCCCCTTCCATGTGTGAGGGGGGTATTAAGAGAAGGGAAGTCCCTCTGCAGCATGGGAGAAAGAGCCCTACTAAGTGTCACCTAGCCTTGTCTTATCAAGGAGACAAGACATGCTACCTCACTGTCAGTGCACAGTGGGCAGCAGTGTGAGATAAGGGAAAAATTCCAGTGATGAGCCTATATGGCTCATCATGAGTGCTCTCTAGAAGGTTCTAGGTATAGGTTTTAAAGATTGGACCCAACTGGTGGGCTTGTAAAGTGGGCCGGCCAAAATACAACTCAACAAAAATATTGATGACTCGTTTGCATCTTAGCAGCAGTGCCATCTTTTTGTTCACCCATTGTCACTACAGCCTAAAAAACAGCTAGCAAGCATATAAGCTCAGATATTATCTCAAAAAAGCCAATTGACTATTTTCGTGTCAGTGTGACTAATTGCCTAAAAATAAAAGTCCAGCTATACAAGTAATTTCTATAGCACAGGCTAATTTTGGAGAGCAACAAAAATGGTTCGGGTCCATGCATTTATTACCAGCATATCGATTACCTTAAAACACATTCATTAGAACAGAGAATAAATCATTGCACTAATTCTTGATGCATAATGCCATGTCAATAATCAAAGTCAAGCTAGTCAAGTGCAGAGATACAGCTGTAATTTTCATTTTAGATGTATCTCTAAAATATTCTTTTACATATGTCAATTATTAATTTGAGTTATTATGGTAATTGGGACTTACCTTAGAATTTCTACCATTTATCAGCTTTGGTTTGCAGGTTACATGACAATGGGGGAAACAATGCTTGAACTAAGATTGGTATTTTGTAAAACTTAACTAAATTTGAGACAGAGAGAAGCCTCATGTGATTCTCAGAAAATACGAAAAGCTGACATGATAAATGTGACAACTGCAGGGCTGCAGCTGTTAAATCGAAGCAGGTTATATAGAGAGTTGAATTCACAAACAATAAAAAATTTGACATTGACAGATCTAATGTCGTATGTTATAATTTTTTATCTTGTATATAAATCTACAATTGAAACTTTCATAATGACAGATCTTCTAATGTATATCTGTAACTACATTTTCTGTTGTTGATGAGTTGTATTTTCTCTATGTTTCAGGATAAACTACATGAATAACTTGGAACAATTCTAGCCATCAATAATATGCATTTTCTGATAGATCAAGTGCATTATTGACAGTTCAAAAACTGTCATCAGAACTAGCTTTTTAAATTCATAGATTGGGAAGTCATCTAACACTCAGCTGTATTTTGCAATCTTGAGGTTTTTTTTTGATTAATTGAATCACAAGTGTGGAGGTTAATAGATGGTGAACTGAACTTCCCTGTCATTCTTTCTCAATGATGACAATTTCCATTCTTCCCTTGTCTTTTATGTCAATTAGGATTTAGTATATGCTTTCACAGTTTATACGTTTGTTTCCAAGTAAGTAGCACATTATTTGTTAAGTGAATTTTGAAGTTGGCAGTACATTTTTTGTTATCGACTTTTTCATGCTACTTTGGAGATATTTTGCTTTATTGATTGTAAGCTAATGATAGAATATCAACTATTATGTGCCTTGGAGGAAACAGATTACACTCACGCAGAGGAAGAGACGCAAGAAGGTGTGCAAAACTCATTTCCATTGAGAAATGAAGTGTTAATAGTGGAAACACTTTAAAGCATAACAATATGGACAGACACTAGCATTCAAACAGGCAAAAAAATATAAGAATGAAAGAATTATAGACTATTTATCCCTACTACATTTGGCACAAAAATAAAGAAATAATAATGTAAATGCAAAAAAGGGGTGAACCGGAGAGTGGTAAAACGGTTTCTTCATAATTGAAAGGTCATGGGTTCGAATCCAGGAGACAGCCTCTTTGCAATTATGCAAAGGTAAGGCTCCGTACAAGGATTTCCTCCACCCCACACTCGCTAGTCGGGTTTAACAGGGAGTGGCTTTGGCTTTTTAATGTAAATGCAAAAATTGTCCTACATGGTGCTAAAATCGTCCCCAGAACTGACTGATCTCTCTGGTCTAATCTCTTCTAGCTGCTGGAGCACTTGCTGAACTTCTGGTCTTGCTGATGGAGAAGGATCAACACAGTGCAAAGCGAGCTTCAATGTGTTTAGCAACTCATCACCAACTGTTGGTGCATCTCTCATCAACTCCACATCAAAGACCTCATTTGTCCACTCCTCTTTGACAATAGAGGCAACCCATTGAGGTAAATCTACACCATTGGTAGACACCCCTGGTGACTTCCTCGTTAGGAGTTCTAACAAAATAACACCAAGACTGTAGATATCAGTTTTGGTGTTGGCTTTCTTAAGCTTTGAGAGCTCAGGAGCACGGTAGCCCAATGCTCCAGCAGTAGCTATCACGTTAGAATTAGCAGCAGTTGTCATCAACCTAGAAAGACCAAAATCTGCAATTTTAGCATTTGTATTCTCATCAAGCAAGACATTGCTTGATGTAAGGTTCCCATGTATAATGTTCTCCTGGGAATGAAGGTAAAACAAGCCACGAGTCATGCCCTGTGCTATTTTCATCCTTGTTGGCCAATCAATGGATGTTTCAGGTCCACGATCTGCATCAAGATGGAAAAATACTTTGAACTTATTGATAAGCTCTATCAATAAAGCAAATATGATCATTGTAGCAATCTTTGCAATATCAAACTACCTGGTACTTACCATGTAGGAAAGAAGCAAGACTTCCTTTAGGCATGTAATCAAAAACCAGAAGCTTTTCCCCTTTGGGTCCCAAGTAATAGGCCCTTAGAGCCAAAAGATTTGGGTGTCGAATTTTCCCTAGAACACCAACTTCTAATTCAAATTCTCTCTGATTTTTACTGATCTTTTCCCTCAATCTCTTTACTGAAACTTGACTTCCATCCTCCAATGTAGCTTTATACACAGTTCCATAGGTGCTCTTTCCCATTATCTCTGCTGTTGCACACAAGAGATCATCAGCAGTAAAAGCCATTGGTCCATCAAAATGGACTAGTTTCCCTCCAGCCTCACCACCTTCTTCAACCTCACCACCAGCAGCAACAGGAGGGACTCCTTTTTCTGTCCTCATAGCGGCAGCTCTCCCCGTGGCTCGGCCATTCTCTGCCTTTGATGTTGCTCTTTTTCTGATCAGGCAGAAGAGCAGGATGCAACAAAGTGTTACCAGAACAATGAGGAGAGCTCCTGCTACTATGAGAATTATGTCTTTGGTACTTAATTTCCTATAATGGTGGTGTTTTGACACTTCAGGAGGTGGAGCTGGGGAAGGACATGGGGTTGAAGGGCTGTATCCACATAGTTGAATATTTCCCACAAATGAGCTTGAGTTAAATTTCTTGGCAAGTAGAGTGGGAACAGGACCTGAGAGGTTATTGTAAGAAACATTGAAGAGATTAAGACTATGTTGAGTGTCAAAGGAGACTGGAATTTCACCACTGAGATTATTCAGTGACAAATCAAGCTGCTTAAGCGTGGAAATGTTTGCAATACTTGAAGGAATATGACCACTAAATTGGTTTCTGCTCAAAATTAGAACAGAAAGATTACGTAATCTGCCAAAAGCTTCTGGAATTTGATTGTCAAGGTGGTTGTTCCTCACATTCAGCAGTGTAAGTGAGGATAAACTAGAAAGGGTAGCAGGCAAGCTCCCATTCAAGGCATTATTAGAAAAGTCTAATGTTTTAAGCCTAGAAAGGGTTCCTATTTCATTTGGTATAGCTCCACTAAACTGGTTATGACTGAGGGAAATCTCTTTGAGCTCACTTAAGCTGCCCAAAGAAGCAGGAATATTTCCAGTGAAGAAGTTATGATCTAGGATCAAATTTTCAAGCCGAAAGAAATCATTCTTCAGACTAGCACCCCATGAGTTAGGAATGGAGCCAGAGAGATTATTGTGTTGAAGAGAAAGGAATGTGAGAGAAACTGAATGAGTTAGGCTAGCTGGTACTGAACCGGATAAGGAATTGAAGCTCAAGTTAAGCAAATAAAGCTTAGTGGAATTGGCAAGGCTATCAGGAATATTTCCTGTGAGTAAATTGTTACTGAGATCAAGAGATTGAAGCAAAGGGCAGTAACCTAACGAAGGAGGTATGGACCCTGTAAGGAGATTGTTGAATAGCTGAACCCCTCTGAGGTTGGGAAGAAGTCCCAGTGCTGAAGGGATTGAACCACCAATTTGGTTATCATGAAGACTAAGCTTTCTGAGCCCTTGAAGTTGGGCAATCTTCTCTGTGATATGTCCCCGCAATCCCTTCCATGGAAGCTGGATCACAATAACTTGTCCCTGAGCACACTTAATACCAATCCAACCTCCTTTACAAGCTCCATAACCACTGTCATTCCAGCTCCTCAAGAAGCCTTTGGGATCAATCAACTCTTGCTTGAATGCTTGAAGTGCTAAGAAATTTGACTCTGTCACAACCACTCCATCCCAACGCTCATCATCTCCCAAAACTGGCTTCACACAGGTGGGGAGTAGAAGAATCCACAAACATTGGACCCATAAGAACCAACCGAGAAACAACCTTAAAAAACAACATGGGTTGTTGTGTCTCTTAGACCCGGTCTTCCATCTTTCTTTCTTCTTATCAGAAATATGGTGCCAATCTGCTGCATTTCTCATCGCAAGTTGCAAAATCTGATAAGGGTCATGGTCAAAGCATATTGAAGTCAGATTCCTATTCTCCATTACCATAATATGAATAACAAAAACAATCAATGTAATAAGAAATAAGAGGAAACAAGATAGGAAACTTTGATAAGAGTGTGAGTTATTACTTGGTCAGCGTTCTCTCTTGTGTCAATAAGAAGACAGTGTTTCTATTGCAAGAGAAAAAGAGAATCGGGGGAGTGTCAAAGTGTGTGGTAGATAGGAAACAAGAGAGCAACAATTGAAGGATGGTTTTTGTAGTGGAGAGAGAGAGAGAGAGAGAGAGAGAGAGAGAGAGAGAGGAAAACTGAGAATGAGCACGTGATGGTCATAAGTTTGTGTAAGTGCGCGCGCGGGTTGAGAGCGTCAGAGGGAGAATCTTGTGTTGGGGAGAAAGTGGAAAATCATGCAGGTTCAGAGGCTCTCCTTAAATATCAAAGGGTTTGATCTAAGAGTTTTAGAAGACTTATATTGTAGTAAAAGTGATTGTGTTATGTTATAGAGATTTGTTTTGCGTGTCAAATTTTTTTTTTTTTTTTTTTGCTTCAAAAATTGTGGGTTCCACAAAATGTTGTGTGTAGAAAAATTGTTATGATCATGTTAAATGATAGATGTAAATCTCTTGATTTAATTGGTAGATATTTGATTTCATTTAAGTAAGATTTTGACTTTAAATTATTGTGATTGCAAAAAATCTTTTTTTGGAGAGAGCTAGTTGTTAGAAATTTACAATCGCTCAACATACAAATTGAAAAAAAAAAAAAAAAAATTAACACGATGATTTATCTTATTCATCTTATGTATATTGTATTTACTCTATAATGACTTGATTTACAAGGGAATATAAATAAGATTTAAATCATAATAACAGTTATTCATAAACTCAAGTCCAAACTATTAAGTAAAGAAAAATTATAATATGTCATAGTCCAACAATAACAATATCAGGCTTTATATGGGGTCGGAGGCGCTGCTCACTAAACCTCTACGAGGCGGGACTCCGCTCGCCCACCTGGAAACCAAGCCCCAATTAGCTTTTTATTGACCTTGCCAATAACTACTTTCATCAACATGCAAAATATGAGTCATATCTAACAATATTCAATACCATAATATGAATGTTCCATTGTTTCACGTGAGTAGGTTTATTAAAAAACAAAAATCAAAAGAGACTCTTCTTCTTACAACGACCAACGGCTAGTTTTCCTTATAACTACTAAATCTATTAGTAATGGTAGTGTGTGTGTACTAATGTGTATTTTTGCCGGGGTTAAGATCGTGGCATGTTCCACCTCTCTTCTTTTACTACCCACCCGCGCCCCAAAGCCTCCCCCAACGGCTATTTCTGCAATATTTTCTTGCTTCCAGTTACACACAAGTCATAATTACAAGATGCGCTGGAATTACTGAAGTGCCCCTGACACTCCCGTGGCTGACTTGGATCGACTGGTATATTCCACGTTTGACTGAAGTGTCACGTGGTCAGGGTCCGGGTCTGGATATAAAATACAGTCTACATTAACTTCCAAAAGCAGGTACTGTAGTCGTGTGAAAGTGTTACATTTTATTACAGAGGTAGGATATTCTTACTACTTATTTTTTCTACTACTACTTTACTATCACTTTAATCATCATTGGATTCAAAAGTTTTTTTTTTTTCTCTCTTCATTCAACTTTTCCTTTAATCAAATAATGATTAGAATAATAATGGAGTGGTAGTAAAAAAAAAAAATAATTAGAATATCCTAACTCTTTATTATATTTGGTAAAAGAAATATCGAGTATTTTGTATTCCTCTATCGAAAATATTTTCATTATGACGGTCCTGAAATCAGAGAAGAATCGTCGTCATCATTTTAAATGGTACTTAAATATTGGTCCACATCATCTTTGCATGAGCCATAGCTTATAGCTATATCCTTTGGCAGTTGACACCTTTGTTCACCTCGTTTTTCTGTAACAGAGTGGCGAAAGTAATTTTGGCCATTCATAAAAAAAATAAAAAAAAAATTGAAAAGGAAGTAGGTGTTATACAAAGATTAAGTCATTTTCTAAATGATATGATTAAAATGCTAATGAGCACCATTTTTAATCAATTTCGACAAATTAATCAAAAAAATGACACGCGAATCAGTGACTAAAAACTTGTTACAAATTTATAAGTAAAAGGGAAAAAAAAAATGGTCAACGAAGTTGACTGTTCGGTGTAACTTAATTCAACCGGTGTGAATGTATCAAACAAAAAAAGATTCAACCGGTGTTTATTCAAGTGAAGTTTTTCAGTTTCATGATTTTAAATTCACATTCATACTTAGGAGTTAGGACTCTTGTCTTTTTGTATAGAAGTACTTAACTACCAAATGTTTAAAGCTTGAGAAAATTAGGTACGGTTTGATTTTTTTTTTCTTTTTATTTGTAGAATAATTAATAAAATAAGTATTTTTTACATTTATTTTTTTTGCTTTGAAAGTTAAAGTCAAAATACAAAACAAAAATAACTTAAATATGTTCTTTAAATTTGATTATAAAAAAATTATAATTTTTAAAACTATTTTTACAAAACAGACATTATTAAACAGGTTTCTTTTTTCTTTTTTTTTTCTAAAAGTCAAAAAACTATTTTTTTGGAAACAGAATTTAAACATGCGCTTAATTGCTAAATTCAAAACCACGTAATGTTGTTTTGTGATTTTGTCCAATCAACTTAGGTTCATGCTCCTTACCATGTTGTATCTAAATTAATAAACGGACACAAGGCAAGTGCAAAAATTTGTCCAACACTTCTTAATTTTATCCTTCGAAATGTGCACTCATCACTCACCACTAGGGACTGTTGATAACCGACCCAGTATTAGCACTGCTCTTTAGCCCAATAACCCGTATTAGGAAAACTCAGAAAACTCAGAGAAGGAAATCTGTACTATATTTACTTACTTGAAAAAGAGAGTACAAAAGGCAATATATAGAAAAACTACCTAAGAGAGAGAAAAATGGCCTAACAGAATGGCCTTACAAAATGGCTAACAGAATAGCCTTACCAAATGGCCTAACAATATCAGAAGCGCAAAAAATGACAGCTCAGCTTCTAGAAGCAATTACAACGGAAAGAAAAATAATAAAAATAAGAAATATAAAATGCTAATAGGCCCCCTCAAGATGGAGAATAAAGATTCAGAATTCCCATCTTGGATATCAGAGTTGAAAACTTGGAAGGAAGCAGAGCCTTGGTGAGAATATCTGCAAGTTGCTTTGATGAAGGTACAGGGAATGTTTTCAGATTACCTTTGATGATATGTTCGCGAACCAGATGACAATCTATCTCGATATGTTTTGTTCGCTCATGAAAAACAGGATTAGCAGCAAGATGAAGAGCAGATTGATTGTCACAGAATAAATGAGCAGGACCAGAATGTAGAACCTTGAAATCCTTCAAAAGAGAAAACAGCCAGAGTAGTTCGCATGTGACAAGTGCCATAGACCTATATTCGGCTTCTGTGGAGGATCTGGAAACAGTGTGTTGTTTCTTGGATTTCCAAGAAATAATTGAATCCCCAATGAAGACACAAAAACCAGAAACAGACCGACGACTATCAATACAAGAGGCCCAATCAGAGTCGCAAAAAGCATTAAGTTGAACAGCAGAAGAAGAGGAGTAAAAAATGCCCTGACCAATGGTGTGCTTGATATAGCCAAGCAATTTGTGGGCTGTCTGAAGATGAGGAAGGCGTGGGGCAGCCATGAATTGACTGAGAAAATTAACAGTGTAGCAGATGTCAGGTCTTGTGATTGTTAAGTAAATCAAACGTCCAATTAAGCGGCGGTACATGGAAGGGTCAAAGAGGAGATCTCCCTCAGAGGCAGAGAGCTTAAGACCAACTTCAAGGGAGGTGCTGCGAGGTTTGCAACCAGAAAGTCCAGAATCCTTAAGAATATCCAAGGCATAATGATGTTGACATATAGAGATACCTTTGGCAGAACGGGCTACCTCAAGCCCAAGAAAATAACGTAAGGGACCAAGATTCTTGAGCTTAAAGGTGCTGTGAAGATTATCAATAAGAAGTTGTACTTCAAGAGAATTGTTAGATGCAACAATTATATCATCCACATAGACTAAAACAGCAATGAAGCATGAAGCAGAAGAACGCACAAATAAGGAATGGTCAGATTGTGACTGATTAAAACCAAGTAAAATCAATGTATTGGAAAACTTTGCAAACCATTGTCGTGATGCTTGTCTAAGGCCATACAAGGACTTATGGAGGTGACAAACAGCATTAGGTGGAAGAGAAGATTGAGTAGAAGAATAGCCAGGGGGCAAATGCATATAAACCTCTTCCAACAACTCACCGTGAAGGAAGGCATTGTTGACGTCAAGCTGGATGAGAGACCAATTATTAATGGCAGCAAGGGCAAGGAGAAGCCGTACAGTTGTAAGTTTCGCAACAGGGGAGAAAGTTTCTGAGAAATCAACACCTTCTTGTTGAGTAAACCCCTTGGCCACTAGACGAGCCTTGTACCTCTCAAGGGAACCATCTGACTTATATTTTACCTTGTAGACCCAACGACAACCCACAATCTGTTTTCCAGGTGGAAGAGAAACAACTGTCCATGTTTTATTGAGCTCAAGGGCTGAAAGTTCATCTTGCATTGCAGCTTGCCATTCCGGAAGTTGGGAAGCAGCAGAAAAGGAGGTGGGTTCAAAATGTGAAGAAACAGAATTAATAAAAGCTGCATATGTAGGAGAAAAACGATGAGTGGTAATATAATTAGACAGGGGATGGATGGTGGAAGAAGAACAAACATAATCACTAAGATATGAGGGTGGGTTTCTAGGCCGTGAAGTGTGAGATGGAGAGGATTGGTAAAAAATAGGAGACTGTGAAGGAGGAGCAGTAGGCAATGAAGTAGGCAAAACAGTAAATTCTGTGTGTGGAGAGGGAATGGGAGACTTCATGGAAAAAGGAAAGATGCTCTCAAAAAACACAACATCACGAGAAATAAAAGTACGGTTGGACTCCAAATCAAGAAGCTTATAACCTTTGAAGCCAGGTGGGTACCCAATAAAAACAGCCGGCAGGGCGCGGGGGGAGAATTTGTGACGATTTCTGGATAGGGTGGAGCTGTAACAAAGGCAGCCAAAAATGCGAAGATGGGAATATGTGGGAGGTTTATGGCAAAGGAGTTCAAAGGGTGTTTTGGCTGAAAGAAGGGGTGAGGGGGTGCGGTTAATTAGATAGACAGCAGTAAGGATGCAATCTTGCCAATAAGGTAGTGGTATATGGGACTGAAATTGAAGGGAGCGTGCCACATTAAGGATATGCTGGTGCTTGCGTTCTACAACTGAATTCTGTTGAGGACGATCGACACAAGAATGGAAAAGTTTAATACCTTTAGAGGAGAAAAAAGATGTTAAGAGAAACTCAGGGGCATTATCACAGTGGATGGATTTAATAGGCAAAGAATATTGTGTGTAAACAAGTTTATAAAACATGGGAAAAACAGAAGAGAAATCAGATTTGTTTTTCAAAAAATAAGTCCATGTAAAACGTGTGGCATCATCCACAATAGTTAAAAAATAACGAGATCCTTCTACAGAAATTGTATGAAAGGGACCCCATATGTCACAGTGAACCAAATCAAAAGGAGATGCAGATAACTTGGGATTTAAAATAAAAGGAAGACGTTTTTGTTTTGCAAGAGGACATACAGAACAATGATGATCAGTACGCAAAATATCAGAAAAACCCAGCAAAGATTTCATTGAATTTAAAACGGAAACAGAGAGGTGCCCTAATCTGGAATGCCAGAGGGAAGGGTCTTTTAGTAAAAGAAAAACAAAAGGAATGGGGAACATTATCTGCTGGGAAAAGGTGTGTGGTGTCAAGTATGTAAAGATCGCCGTGTCTTCTAGCAATCCCAATCGTCCTTGCCGAAGCACGGTCCTGAAGAGAACAATGAGAGTCAGAGAAATGAGCAAGAATAGGGGAATCACGTGTTAAAGCACTTATGGATAAAAGATTGAAGAAAAACGAAGGAACACAAAGGACATTGTGTAGGGTAAAAAGACCACAAATGGACACTGAACCAACATCAGTGACCACTGCAGAAGACCCATTGGGAAAAGACACCAAAGAATCAGATGAGGAAGATGAGGAAAAGAGAGTAGCAGAAAGACAAACGTGGTGCGTGGCACCTGTGTCCAAAATCCAACAAGACGGAGGGAGAGCAAGAGGTGGCTTACCACTGAAACTTGCTATCGATGGTGAGGAATCAGTAACGGACGAAGTGGAGAACGAAGATGACGGTGCAGAATTTTGATGTAGCAACGCAAGCAGCTGATTATATTGGGTTGGGGTAAAAGCAAGTGGCACATCAGAGGAGTGGGTAGCTGTCGGTGAGGTAAGGTGAGGTGAGGAAGCTGGCGATGGTAAAGGGAGAAGTGGGGGTGAGGGCCGAGAGTGGGCAAAATGGGCTTGGGCCTGGTGAGGAGTCGGGTTGGGCCTAGGAGATCTGGGTTTATACCCAGGAGGGTAGCCATGTAATTTAAAACATTTGTCACGTGTGTGACCAGAAAGGTTGCAAAAAGTGCAAACAGATCTAGGGCGACGTTGAAAAGTAGCAGCGGCCGTGGGTGGGTTGTGAGAAGGAGGGGCAGCGGAGTTGATAAGGGGTGAGTCAGGAACAACCGGAATAGGCAAGGAAATAGAGAGCTGACGTTGGCGTTCTTCTTGCAAGATCATGGAGAAGACTTTCGCAAGTGACGGCAGTGGTTCAAGGAGGAGAATCTGAGCCCGGACAGAAGAAAATGAGTCATTAAGGCCAATGAGAAATTGCAAGACGTGGTCCTGCTCCCTGCCTGTGCGAATCGCATGAAGAGCACCACATGTGCAAGAGGGAAGAGGCAGGTGATCCTGTAACTCATCCCACAAGGATTTCAACCTTGTATAATAGGCATTAACATCAAGGGAGCCCTGAGAAAAAGATGAAACGTGTTGCTTGAGTTGAAAAATACGTGGACCATTTGCCTGGGAAAAACGGGTCTGTAAATCATTCCAAACCTCATATCCAGTAGTAAAATAAAGGAGGCTATCAGCAATCTCCTTAGTAACAGAATTCAAAATCCAGGATATGACCATGGAATTGCAACGAGTCCAGGAAGGAAACAACAGATCATTGGGAGAAGGGCGAAGAATAGAACCATCAACAAACACAAGTTTGTTCTTCGCGGTAAGGGCAAGAAGCATAGCACGCTTCCAGGAACTAAAATTGGAACCAGTAAGAGAATGGGATACCAATACCAGGCCAGGGTGATCACCATTGTGCAAAAAATGAGGACTGGAAGAATCTTCCATGAAAGAAGATGAACCAGAGGAAGAATCCGCTGGTGGTGGGCGAGGATTATTGGCACCACGAGCCATTGAAGGAGACTCGGGTTCAGGAAAAGAATTCTACTGATACCATATTAGGAAAACTCAGAAAAGAACTCAGAAAACTCAGAGAAGGAAATCTGTACTATATTTACTTACTTGAAAAAGAGAGTACAAAAGGCAATATATAGAAAAACTACCTAAGAGAGAGAAAAATGGCCTAACAGAATAGCCTTACAAAATGGCTAACAGAATAGCCTTACCAAATGGCCTAACAATATCAGAAGCGCAAAAAATGACAGCTCAGCTTCTAGAAGCAATTACAACGGAAAGAAAAATAATAAAAATAAGAAATATAAAATGCTAATAACCCGAGAACGTACATGGAGATAAAATCAATTGTTACCGAGAATGAGACTTAGTTTGCAATACTTTTATGGAAAATATCATGTCGAAACTAACATTATTGGATTATTTTGAGTGAACTTGAGAAAGAAAACAGTTTATAAGTTGTCTACATAGAAAAAAGCTAGTATACAGGTTATACTAGAATTCAAAACAGCTCCCACAGATTAATATCCCCTAACATGACCAGAGTCTTTACTTAGATTCAAAAAAAAAAAAAAAAAAAAAAAAAAAAACTCATAGCCCAGCCCATACCGGCGAGAAAAAGAACAGTTTCTGTCAACATTAAAAAAAAATATTTAACAAGAATCCCACCAAAACTAGCCTAATCCAATCAAACTCATACTCATCCAGCCATTGCATATAACAGATTAGAATCCCTTCCAGTGAGAATTAAAATTTACATAAATGTTCGAGGTTTGAAAATAGAAAAAATGGTCCTGAAAGAGTCATGTTCTTTATATGGATTTGACCGAACTTGAACTAAATTTGTCGGGTAATCCATATTTTTTATATGGATCCGACAGAGCTGAAACTAAATTTATCGGATAATTAATAATCCGTAAAATATTTACATAGACAAATAGGAAGCTACTTGAATTTTCTTGATTCTAAGGAGGCTTCAATTATCGAATCCAAAAATTATCATCTTTCTAACACCAAATAACCTATAGTCATATACTACAGCCAATTCCAGAAATTTGAATGCAGTTCAGGTCAACAAGAACTCCATATGTAACTACAATCTAAACAACAAAACAAAGTAGATGTCAGAGAACTTCATTGTCACGCATCATTAAAAATAAACATAAAATACACTGCCACATTCCTCGGTCGTAGGAGTCCAACACTAAAATAGGTAGAGTAAACTCAAAAGTCAACAAGTAACCAAACCTAAAATAACTACAGACGAAAAACAATTGTAAAAAATTGGACCACAATGACAGCCTTCAAATTCATAGGTAGGAGCATTACATTAATATATAGACTTAGAATTCAATACAATATTGTCAAACTCGAATTTCTACATAGAAATCGAAAGGGGTGGTAGAAACGTAAAACGTAAAAACGACACGAAACATAAAGTTTCTACATTATACTATTTAAGATCAAGATATAAAATTACATATATACATGTAAAAAAAATATCACATAATAAAGATGTGTGTTAAGCCACTTATCTATCTAAAAAGGAAAATAATTTTTTATAACCAAATATCAAAATTATAAACAGTGATAACTAACAAGTAATGGATAACCAATCTGTTCTAACTGCTTCATACACTCTGCAATTTCGGATCATCGCTCATTAGGATATAATTTCACTTCTTTTAATGCACACAATGATTCAAAAACACAAAACAATTCTCATAGCATAACTTATAATAGAATTGCAGTTTTATAAGACATAATTATAAAAGACATATATCCAAACAAAAAGATATGAAGATATGTGCATATGATTTCAGGAAAACGAAAATTGGGTTTTTTTTTTTAATTTCTTTTTTTGTAAATTTTTTTTTTAAAAAAAATTCGTTTTAAGTAAAAACGGTCAAAACGTAAGTTTTTGCCATTTTTACACGGCGTTTTTATCAGTTTTTATCAAGGACCATTTTTACTTGCGTTTTAACACGTACCACTCTAATAAAAACGTAAGTTTTTACATTCTTACATTAGTTTTTGACAACAATGATTCAACCCCTCCTTTCAGCCAGGACAAGACAAAGCAAAAAAAAATCAGATAGAGAAATAAGTGTAAATCATGTCCTCAAAATTTTCCTCTACTTACGTAAATGTGTGAATAAGGCTAAGGGATATTTCACTAAAACGCAGGCAAACATAACAAAAACAATAAATTGGAGACTAAAAGAAAACAAAACTTCAAGCAATTCGCTTTGCACCCAAAAAAAAGAAATAACAATAATAAGATATTTGTTTTTCTCATGTATATATGATAAAACAAACTTTTCCTACACACACTATAAGAAGGTGTGCAATTCTTTTTTTATTTTGTTTTTTTTAAATAGATTTCTTTTTCCCTAATAATAATAATAATAGTTTTTTTTCCTATAATGTCAGCAAATAAATTATTTATATTAAGCTTAAAATAATATCGTTTTGAGACAAAAATTAAAGTATTATTGCAATTTTAATTTATTTTAAAATTGCAATCTTTAACATTATAATTTTTTAATATTTTAATTCCACAATAATATTATTTTGGGAGTAAATATAAATAATTTATTTGTAATCATTTGTAAAAATATTTTATAAAAAAAGTTAAACTTACCATGTTGAATTAATTTTGATCGATCAATCATAAAAATGATTCTAAGAAGTTGCAAGTAAAAAAAGATTGTAAACACAAACTATCTCTAAATAAATAATAAAAAAATAACGATTTCAAATAAATTCAGTTGAATACAAGAGGATTTGTTGAACCAACCTAAAAAGAAAGCCCATTGGACAAAAAGAAAGTCCAGATCCCTCCGTTTACATGCGCGGAACAGCCGGCGCGGCGGCAGAAGACGCAGCGCGGCCGAGGAACGAAAGGAAGCCGGCGTTGGCGGGTTCCTGATCGTCGAGAAACAAGTCCTCGGGGACTCGAAACGCACCGTGCGCGCACACGATGGCCAAACCAACGGTCAAGGCGGAGATCAAGAGGGATCCAACGCTGGTAAGGAAGATAACGAAAACAGTGAGCACCACGAGAATGCCGAGGGTTTCGCGATCTGAGAAGGTGCGGCCAAAGAGGACGAGGGGCTGGTCTGAGGGGCGGAAGAGGTATAGGAAGGTCCATGAAGCTAGGAGGGCGAAGAGGAGGAAGAGAGAGAAAGGGTGGGTTATGAGAGAGACGGCGAGGGCGAAGGCCAATAGCGTTACGTAGTTAACGCGAAAGTAGGAGAAGTTCTTGCGGACCCGCGAGTATGCTTCGGTGAGGGACTCTGGACGGGACATGGAGGATCGGTCGATGAGCTCCGACCAAGGGCGCCGCTCCGAGAATCCGTGGCGGAGGGATGAGGAGAGCCGGGAAATGATGGCGCGGAGAGCCGCCGTGGCCATTGGTGACTGCGATTGTGTACCGGCGGCGGCGCTGCTGTTGGATACGGGGGTCGAGATGGGGAGTGTTGGTGAAGAAGCCATGTGGTGGCGCGTGAAACCGAATGGCGCGTGAGGTGTTTGAGACTGGGGAAGATGAAAAGAAAAGAAAAATTAAAAAAACTAATAGAGAGGAAAGAATCCTATTAGTTTGGGCTATGTTACCACGCAACAGCGAGGGTGTGTTTGGTAAGAATTTTTTTTTTTTTTTTGAAAATCTTAATTACTGAAAATTCATGTGGGAAAAAACTGTTTGGTTCGTCAAAATATTAGCAGAAATATTGAGTAAGAATTACTGATTTTATATTTGGTTTAGAATGAAATATTACTGAGAATAGAATGTTATATTACAAAAATAATCCTTACATATTTTTAGTTTCAAAATTGATATACATATTTTATATTACAATAATAACCCCTACTTATTTATTTTTAAATAACCCTACAAAAATAACCCCTAGGATGTTATATTACTGGTAAACAAACTGAGATTATATTTTTGAGAAGGACGAATTAAATAAATTTAAAAGATTAGCCAATGAGTTACTTAATTGCTTGTGAAACTAGATGGACCTATGATCATACAAATTGATACAATTACACATGGTGTGCATATATTGGAGAACCCAGTTCTGATCGCATCTGCACGTACCTACCTTTTGATGGGTGTTGGGGGAATGGGGTACTTTTGTCTCAAAATTTCTTGTTCAACTTTTCCTTCAGTAGGAATCGTCAATTATCATATTATGAAAGGTAATCAGAACAGTAATTTTTGTTTGTAAATGATATTATTGGTAAAAGCAGGATGTTTGGGAATTGGATTTTTTTTTCTTCTCCCAAATATAATAATTTACTTTATCAAAGAAGATATATCAGTATTCTTTCAAATACCGTCGTACCAAACACACCCTGAATGTAGAGGATACATTTTTTGTTAGACATCTTGTTTTATTACTCATGTTATAGAATAATTGGAGGTGAATAAAAGTAAAATCAAATTTGAAAAAAAAAAAAAAACCGCGCTGAAGAATAAATAAAGTAATTAATATTGTTTTCACCAAAAAAAAAAAGTAATTAATATTGTCAATACACACATAATAAAATTTAATCATTGCAAAAATACAAGATGTTTTTTCATTTCGGAAGGTTATGGTTGAGTCTGGCTTCAAACTTGACTTTACCTGAACAATGCAAAACACATTAAATATTATGTGTTTTATTCAAAATTCATGTACCAATCTAATTCTTGTGTGATTAGATTCAAATTTTAAAAATATTTTAACTTATATATTATAGTATATTTAAAAATATAAAAAAATTAATTTAATTATTTAAAAATTAAATATTATTTTTAAAAATTTTAAGTCCTAAATATTTATATTATAATTCAAGGGATAGGATATTATAACAATCAATTAGGATTATTATCAAATGTTCGTTTTTTCTGCAGTTACTGTAGATAAGTTATTTGCAGTAAGCCCAATACGTCGTCATTTTGGGGCAGAAATCATGGTATTTTTGTAATTTTAATTTATTTCAGGGTTATAATAGTCTTTATATTTATAATTGTTAAGATTTCAATACCAAAACAATGTTGTTTTGGGAATAAATGCAGATAACTTATCTGTATTAACTGGAGAAATATTTTTCTCTATTATTAATGTTACTATTAACCAATTTTACCGTTAGATCGATTATGTTTTTCCAACGGTCATATTTATTTTCATTTTTGTATAGTTATGATTCCCCATAGAAATCATAACCATACAAAGGTGCAAATAAATATAAAGTATTAAATATGGAGAATCATATTCATACAAAGATGGAAATAAATATAACTGCTGGATCAACATAATCGATTTAACTGTGAAATTGATTGGTAGAAACATTGGTAATAACCCTAATTAGTTATTACAATATCCTACCCCATAATTCAATGTTTTTAAATGTTAATCTCTTATTATATTTATGAGTAAAAGATTTCTCTGGTCAATTGAGATAAATTCTCTCTGATGAGCCAAAAATGATGTCGTTTTCGGGCAGAAATCAAGGTATTTTTGTAATTCTAATATATTGCAGGGTTATATTAGTCTTTATTATTATAATTTTTTTAATTTTATAAACCCTAAACGATGTCGTTTTGAGTTCACTGGAGATGACTTTATCTCCAGTAACTGAAGAAATATTTTTTCCTATATTTATTATATTCGTAGAAAGGTAAGAGTTGTATCGGTATTATAGATTGAAATAGTTTGGGTACATAATGCGAAAAACTCCTAAATGCTCTTATAAGAACAAAAGTGTCTTACAAAGAACTCAACATAAAGAGAGAAAGAGGTCGGCCGAAACTTACTTGGGGAAGATAATAAAGCAAGACTTAATGAATGGGGATTTAGATTGGTGAATAATGTGTTTTAGGACAGATTGGAGGGAAACTATTAGCATTGCGGATGGTTAGACCCTTTTTTGCTTCCTATTTTCCTCGTATCCTCCCTTTTTTACTTTTTTGGTAAACAAAAGACCTAAGTCACAAAACAAAGAAAGAACACAAAAAGAAACCTAACTATTACAACTCAAAACACGATGTCTCCCAACAACTAATAGATCAGTAAACAACAGTATCTGGATGCCAGGAGGAGGTTCCTGGCAAACAAGATAGTCTTCCTGCCCCTCATAGTCTAATATGAAATCCGCCAACTAGTCTGCACACGAGTTACCCTCCCTCAAAGTATGCTTGAAAGTCACAGACCAATTTTTATCGATCCATGTCTGTATGCGATAAATCAAATGATTTTCACAGACTGCTGCACCATTGCTAGTGAGCACAATGATCAAACTTGTTGAATCACTTTCAATAATGATGTAATGGTATCTAGCATTCCAAGCCATCTTCAACCCCCTAAGGACACCCCATAATTCTACTTTGAATGAATATCACCTCCCTAATTTATACGCAAAGTCACCAAGCCACTTACCGCACTTATCACGAATGAAACCTCCACAAGCAGCTGGACCAGGGATACCACGCGCAACCCCATCCGTATTAATTTATGTTTTTTTTTATCTTCTTTATTTTTATCTCTATATTTCTTTAATTTTTATTCTGTGTATTTTTATTTTAACTTTCTTATTTTTTCTTTTCTCATGTAATTTTCTTTCTTATGTATCTTTTTTTCACTTTATTTTATTTTATTCTTCTTCCAAATTATCATTTTGCTAAGTTTTTATTTCTAATAGTATTTATAGTTCTTCTAATTTTATTTTTATCCTTTTTTTCATCCTTTTCATTTGTATTCATCTCCACATACCCTAACTAATTTGGGATAAAGGTAATGTTGATATTCTTTATATTTGAACTTGCTTGTTAACAAAAAGAAAAAGAAAAATCATGCTTGTAACACCATATTACCGGACCTGTTTGTTATCATTACATATGATATTAAAGCGCAATTACAATCACAATAATTGAATTGTTAATTACGTATAATTTTTTTCCTTTTTCAATTATTAAAAACGAATAATTTCCGTAACCAACTAATTCAAATACTCTAATTGTTACACATACATAGTTGGAAGCTTTTATATTAGTTTACAACCCTTAATAGGTAATACCACAAATCTAAGATTGTAAAACACATTTTTTTTCACCTCAGTAATGAGGTAATTCATCCCTTTAGTGTATCACTAAACCTTATACTATGTCTTAATATAGGTATTTACACAATCTATAGTAAGATCACTTAATTACTTCTCTTAAAATCACAAATTCCTTTTTTTTCCATTGGGGAATCGATTCTCTCTCTGGTGATAATCGATTCCCAGCCCCTATTAATGCTAGACAGAAGCTCACAAACCTCCCCTATTTCTTGGGAATTGATTCCCTTCCTCTGAGAACAGATTCCTGAACTAAGGAATTTATTCCCTCCCTGATGGGAACAAATTCCCATGTGTAAAATTTTAGACATGAGCTAAATTTGTCTCCCTTGTTTGGTGGGAATCGATTCCTAATCTATGGGAATCGATTCTTTCCCTGGGTAGAAGCTGATGAGTAGGGGTGTTCGCGGTCTGGATTGGATCGGTTTTGGAAGCAAAAATCATCTGATCTAATCCCTTCGGTTTGATCATGTAATCATCCATTCGGTTTGAATTTTTTTTTCAAATCCAATCCAATTTTTTCGGTTTGGATTGGATTGGTTTTCGATTTTTTGAAAATCTTAAAATTTATTTCATGATTATTGTGCAAATAACATCGTTTGTATATACTGACTTTGTAATTTTATTTTTTTTAAATATAAAAGCATCATTAAACGATAATATAGTTTTTTTCTTTTTTGGCAATGAGATATGAAGCTCTACACAAATTAAATTTTGTTAATGAGATGTGATTAGGCTTTTTCTTCAGTTTAGTTGATGGGTTAAGGAGTCTTTGGTTTAGAAATTTTTGGGCTATGATTGGGGAAAAACCCAAGTGGGTAGAGAGAAATTAATATATTGGATCGGTTTGGATTGGATCGGTTTTCATTGACCAATCCGAAAATCGATCCAATCCAATTAAAATTTGCGGTTTTTTTTCGGTGTTCAATTTTTCGATTTTTGGTTTATTCGGTTACCGGTTTTTTGGTTCGGTTATTGCGGTTTGAATCGCTTTAGATCGATTGATGAACACCCTTACTGATGAGTCTCCAATTTATTATATCTTAAGGGTTAATATAAGCATGAAATTGATTTAAAATTATTAAAAGTTATGAGAATTATAATTAAAGTGTTATTTTATTCTCATAAAAATTCTTATATTTTGCATTAATTTTCAGCTCAATAAAGAGTTAAATTGGAGAGCTCAAGTGGATTTGCTTTGGGTTTCTGAATCATATAATTGATTCAAGATCTTATTGAAGATTCTCTTGAATATTTTTAAGGAAAGTTTTCCTTTAAAATATAAAAGGGGTGATTTTAAGGATTTGATTAAAAATATGATTGGAGATTCTAGTGAAGATTACATTGAAGATATTATGAGAAATTAAAAGATATGGTTTCATCACTATAAAAAGGCAACTCTTGAAAACAGAAAGAGGCTGACACATTCAGAAAGAGATGAGCTTTTGCTGGAGATTGGAGAACTTCAGAAAGAGAGAAGACTTGAAGAATTGGGCAACATTGATTTCTTTTCTTCTTCTTCTACTTCTTTTTCTTTCTTTGTTTAGTTTAAGCTAG